GTCTGACTTTCCACTGCACACAAAAACCACCGGACTAATTAAAGTGATATTGTTGGATAACATGTTATAGTTATAGCACATTATACGTATGCATGATTAAGCTAATTCTAATTTTAATTTCGAGCTAAGGTTTATTTCGGACTTCCAAAGTTCTTAGAATAGATGCTTGAGGAAGTTGAATATTGATCGGTCTCCTTGAAAACAAATATTAAAAGTACTGTAGGTACTCCTAAATTTTTATTTTGTTCACGTGGCTTAACAGAAATCATTTTCAGCTGATAACAAAAAATAAAATTGTGTTCATAATCACAGAAAAGCACGAAAAGACTTTTAGTGCTAAATACTGCGTTTTTGTATTGCGTTTTTAGGTAGATTGTTTTATTGGTATCTAATTATTTAGCAACGGTTTATTTAAAATCCGCGACATTTGTATCCATTCAAAAAAAATTTTAAGAGTTGAAATGCGTCTCCCATACTATAAATTCACCGACCATTTTAGATCTCGGGTGTTATCCAACAAAACAAATGCACGCTACATTCGTATCGAAAACTACACAACTGTATAGACAATTAATATAAACAGCTGATTTAATAATCAGCTGTTTGTACATTACCTTGTATGGTTATCCGTTCTTTGCCAAGGCCTAGCACAGACTGAATTACGAACGGTCTACGTCGTGAGTCGTGACGTCACTGGTTGTAGGTCGCACTCCTACGCGACTTCTTCTCTCCAACAATGCAACAAAACCGGTTTGCCGTGGAGTGCGAAACATAGCCTAGGTTATGAAGATTCTACTCCCGGAAGATTTATAATGATCTACCCGGAATTTTATTCTGTGTATATTTTACTGTAGATTGTCTTTTAGGTGTATTTCAGATTAAAATGTGATTGAATTTTCGTGGAGGGAGGGAGATCTTCCAAACAGAGATGGTTATCCTCTATTAAGATAACTATGATTGTTTAATGTGAGCTCAGTACTACTTATGGGTCACATCATTTATCGCATTGCTAAACGTTATTTGTGATTGTTGAGGTATGAACCCCGAACTTTTGGATAGAAGTTGTGCGTGATAACCACAAAACCAGCGTAGGGGTTTGATAAGGTGCGGGGCTTCGGGTTTCGAGGTCCCGGGTTCAAATCCCGCCAATTGCCAATGGATATTTTACATGATAATGCCACGATAAGAATAAGAATAAGAAAGTTTATTGCCATTGACCAAGTTGTACACAGGAATAGGCATTGTCAAATTACATTAAACAAAATATTAACAAGTATGTTATATCTATAGGTAACAAAGATTGAGAATTCCTGATCTACAGTATGAATCATTCCATTGTAATTTGATGTTTAAAAAAATCCTTGACTGAGTAGAACGATACTATAGGTCTACCTGAAGTAATGTGTCTAACGGTTCAGTGCATGAGTCTAGACTTGTGTGCAGGTGGCCAGTAGGACATAAAAATAGTAGGCTATCTATTTATTAATAGGCAAGCATGTTTCTTGGAAACCTTTTTTCTCAGCTCCTGTGCATCGCAGGGAAAATCTACACATACTGTTAGAAAGACATTTGCCTGTAGATGTGCAGAACCCCTATAAATTAAAACAGACTCAAAAGTAATCACAAAAAATTAATTTAAAATAAAAAAAATATAGGTTGCCATGCTGTTGACGAAATAATAACAAAATATAAATAGAAAATCTAAACAAATAGAAGGAATACCTATCACCTGTTTTATTTACACCGTGGGGTGAAAATATAGAATTTAATATAAGTTTGTACAATACATATTTTGGTCGAGTTTTCGACCACAAGGCGACCTCTAGTTAATTTAAAGAAACACGTCAACTTGATCCCTAACTCCTGTCTTTTGCGGTTTCTTAAAACAAATTCCAACTCCTCGGTTTAATCAGTTCCCAGTAATAATTCCAAAATGGAGTAATGTTGATCAAAAACTGTTTTCGGCATATTTGCAATTACTGAATCAAGTGTCAATGCTAATTTAAAGAAACACTCTTCAGTGATCAACAACTTAATCCGGATTCAAATATAAGGATTTGTAAATGAAATTTGTATTCGTCTTTTAAATTTATGTTCACAAGTATTCATCATATTATTAACAAAATTAAATAAACACGAATTTTACCTTTTACTGTACCAGTATATTTATATTTATATATTTATAACGAGTTTTATATTTATAACGATACCGGATGCCGTTTCTGTCACCAAACTTGGTAGCAAATGCAGCCTGTTGGTGTTAAGAGTCAACTAAAATCTGCTTTATCGACGTCATGTTTCATTATTGCATTTGTCTATGGTATAATCACAGACTACAGCACGGCCACCTTTAAAGGCGGCCGTGACTTCAGTATATAGAGTAAATCAGTAAATTACATATTCTATAGTCTGTGATGCAATTGCAATAATTATTGTAGCATTTAATATACGGCAAGGAAGAATGTTTAATCTTTGGCCACGGCAAAAAAAAACTTACATTGAATAAAAGGACGGTTCAAACCTAAAAAAGTAAACATATTTTTAATAGCTCAACACTGGACACAGCTGTCCTCAATCATAAAGGGTTATTCAATAATAATGGTGCAAAACTAAACCGGGTGGTATGACTGTTTCCGTATATTCAAACACCTGATTTATAAAACAATTGTTTCAATACCTAAATTGTTTGACTAGGTATTTTTGGTTTTAGTTACTTTGTTGAGTACCACAAAGTCTGTCAACAAAATGGCTAGGCTTACTACAAAACAAGAAAAGGCATTTTGTGTTTTAGAGTTTGATCGTGCAGTGCAGGCAGATGTTAGTGTTCAGGGGTACCAGAACTTATAGGAAGGAGGTTCCGCATGGGATTTTATGGGGATGTATAGTGAAAGCAAAAAAGTGTTTATTCTTCAAAAAAGGGCGATTAGACATTTAGCCAAGGTTCCTCCAGATACACATTGCCAAGAATATTTCAGTCGATTCAAAATTCTCACTTTATACAGCTCTTATATTTATTATATTTCTATGATGGTCAAGAGTAACTTGGATACACTTATGGAGAGTCAGCCATCTCACAAACATGATACAAGATACAAAAAAATAATAAAACCAATGCAACATAGACTAAAATTATTTCATTTATCCCCACAATATATGGGACCCACAATTTATAAGAAGCTGCCTTCAACAGTAAAAGAAATTGATTGCATATTGAAATTTAAAAAAAACCCTTAAGATATGGCTTCTGGAGAAGGTGTATAGTTATTTTTAATATTATGATTGTTGTTTTGTTACAATAGATTTTAGTTTGATGACAAATCACCTGTCAATCATTGATGTAATGTGATGATAATAAATAATAATAAAAAAAAAAAATGCTTAGCTCGTTGAGTGAGGCAATTCAAGACAAATGGATGTTTGTGTGCTGGGGCATGTTCAGGCAGGGAAGAGAAAAAATTCCATGTTGACAGGCTCCGTGGTACTCAACTAAGCAACTGAGACAAAACATAACCTTGTCAAAACAAACTTATATAAACACTCCCTTTCCATTGTTGCTACGATCAGCTGTTTGAAATTAGTGAAACTGACGTACCAACCGTTTAGTTTTGTACCATTGTTGTTAATAACCATGTACAGTATTATAGTCAAAGGTATTAGGCTTTTAATCAAATTATCCTAGCTAAATAATCAGCTGATAACTTGAAATTGAATTTAAATTATGGTGTTTTTATTTTTTGAGATCTGGGAAAAACTAATTCTTCATTCATTAATCTATTTTTTTTGCTATATAAATAATATAAAGGTATCAGCAATCTGATTCACTGTCTCACATTATAAGTACCTACATTCATATGGTTGCCATTTCAGAATTTAAGCATTAGTATAGACAAAAAGAATTAAATATAGACCGTCAGCTGTGCGGTTACCATAGGTTCTGGCGCACACCACTGGTAGCGCCATGTAGCTACAGTGTAGGCGCTACGTAACTACTCGGCGCTCCCAGCGGTGTGCGCCAGAACCTATGGTAACTGACGGCTGTCAGTCTATATTTAATTCTTTTTGTCTATGGTATTAGCTCATCAACCTCCCTTATAATAAGTAAGGGGTGGTAGTAACTATGATATTTTATGTGGAAATCACAAAAGTTGCTTTGAACATAATTTTTACAGCAATGGCAATAGTACCATTTTGTTTATAGTTAAATGGACTATAACCACACAGTATGTTTTCTGTGCTATAACATGCAAAATTTTAACCACAATCGTAAAGCTGTTTTTGTAAAAATCTGATTACTGTATTCGGTTATTTTATAAGTTTATCAAAATCAGGAAATCACCATTTAAAATAAATACATAAAATCCTGGGGATACCATGGATTGGTACCCACACACAGTTTTCACTTTGTAAACCACTTTTTTGGGTTCAGGGTCCCCCTGAACGGATGTTTCCACACAAAACTCAACAATTTTTATGAAAACAATACTTTAGGGAAACAAGTCACAGTAAAACGGTCCCAGGTCTATGTCTTACCATGAGACATTCGTTAATAGCTTTTCTCCAGCCAGTCAGAGAATGTGCTATTGTGCTAGTGTTTTAAATTCTATTTTGTAACTTATTCTTTTTTTGTGAAAAATTTGATGGGTCTTAACCATCAGTTGCTCTAGCTCACAATAAGTCATTTATCAGTTTGACTTGTCAAAAAGCCCGTGTATTTGAAGATAGTTTTAAGGCCAGTGCTGTCAAATTAGGTTGGGGGTTTTTACTATTGGTTTATTGTAGTTTCTCCAATTTCAACTTTAATAAAATAAAACAATCCAATTTTTAATAATTGCTCATCCCCTGGCATTTCAAGGAAATAGTACAGCACAACTCAATGAAAAGCAATCATGTACAAATTACTGTTTAATTTAGTTTAATAGTTCAATAATAACTTCAAAAATCCTCTGAAAAACATAAAACATTTCTAGGTTATGAAAGTGTATAAAATGATCAGAAATTCTAAACTTTATAAATAGTTTATTTTGAACTATAAAAGAAAAATACAGCTACAATATGATACATAAATAAATATAAACCTCTATATAAAGAAAAAACGCAGTAACAAGTAGAACCAACTCTTTGCCATGAAGTTTAATAAAAAAGTATGGTGTCGTAATAGTTTGAAGTCCGTTATACAAATTCGCAAATTGTTTGTGAATTTCCAATTAATCGTTGACAATTGTTTTGATGATGAAAAATTTAGAGTTGGAGAGCTTTTTTATTTTCAGGCAGATCTATCTGTAAATACTACATGTATAACATCCCATTGGGAAATAATTATTAAACTATTTTAACCAAAGTTTGTAGTTTTCATGCATCAAATCACACTAATAGGTACCTGCCAGAAATGTTACAACCAAATGGAAAGTCTACTTTCAGTATCTCAAGTCAATGTCTTTATGTCTGTCAAAAACAATGGGGTTAAAAAAATAAAAATATTGTTACATATAAAAGAACAGCATTCAGCAGAAGACTGTAAAAATTAAGAGTGTTTTTTTTCTGACTTCTGCACTACCAACAAAAGGAGGAGGTTCTCAATTTGTTTGTGGCAATGTTTTTTTTAAAGGCTTAAAGTGGAAGATGAATTAATGGTTTTCAAATAAAAATCAAAGAACTAATAGTATAATGTTTGAGCCAAATGTTCAAAGGTGTTAAGTTTTTAAAGCATTAAGAAAGCACTTAAGATAGCAGCAATTTTTACGAGTAAATTATTAAATGCGTTAGGTTATAAAAAGTCGGCTACTATGAATACTGTTCTGTGATATTTTGTGTATGTTTTATTTACCAGAAGAGTTATTTTTACTACAAGTAACAAGTGCACTTATCGGCAAATTTGGTGCGAAAACCTTAAGTTAATAAGTTTTAATTATATTCTAAGAAAGAAGAAAATTAATAATAAACTAAACTTAATTTTATAAAAATATATTTAAACATATTACTGTTAAATGTTATAATACAGCAGGCTATTTACAAATCACTGAACACTTCCTAGTAATAGCAAAATTTCAACCATTCCAAAGCATACATGAACAACTGATTTTAGTAAAATAATAGACCAACATAATAATCTTTTTACATGTAATAAGAGCTGGAGAACAACAAATAGAAAATAGTATAATGCTACAAGGTTGGTGGGTAGATTTTTACGGTACAAGCATGATAGTTTAAGAATACTGTAAATAACTTTCCCATTAACATTTTTGCCAAACTTCCAGCTACAAATATACAGGATGAGTAAAACACAACCCATACACAGCAATGTTTAATATATACAGTGCCCTAAAAACGTTTTGTAAACCTTTCCAAAACTTATTAATTTGTAAAAGTGCAATGGGTCTGGCTAATCCTGTCCAATATATATTATCTTAGCTCCTTTGAGAGTTTGTGGAAGTTGCACGCAAAAGTTATTGGTAAATTTACCAAACTCCAGCTCACTTCACTGGTCCCTTTCTGTAAACGACTTTTTCATCTACAACGGGTTCAGAAACTGGCTACTTACAGTGTAGTGTGGGAAACAATGTTACTTGGCTTTGGCATAGTAATTATATAAGATAAATAAACACTTTTAAAATCATAATAAATTAGTGGGTGATAGGCCTACAACAAAAATCTGCAACTGTAAAGGTGTATAGTTATAAATTAAAACAATATACTTAATATTAGTTAATATAATACAATTACAAAAGCAGTATAACATTCCAAAGGTAAATATTATTTTCGATAGGTAGTGATTTTATCAACGTGCATTACAAAAACATTCAATTTCAGTCAGATGGCAGAAATCTGTCTGAAAAGTTGGTTAACCATCTAGCATAGGCATCTTATTATTATTTACAATGGCATCATTACATTCTATTTTATAAACTCGAATCTTCAGAAGAGACAGGAGAAAGACATACATATACAACTCCTCTACGTTGAGGAAACATAACACGCTCTGCATCAATGCTTACCATAGTTCATCTAGGTTCAAGGCAAAATACTACGAAATGGTGAAATGGTATATTACACCACAAGGCCTGGAAGTAAGTGTTTACAGTACAAGTGTGACAGTTTGCAGTATTCCATGAAAGTACCGTTAAAAAGGCCATTCCCATGAGAGTCACTTACGATACTTTTCGCCACATTACAAGCAACAAATACACAATATTTAAACACAACATTTTAACCGACTATTCAACTTAAAAAGTTCACGTTTTTGCACCTATCTAGTATTTTTCATCAAAGTTGTCATTGTGCCTGTCTAATATTTACTGTGTAGCTTCATTGGGAACCTACAGAAGAAACTCATTCTTTCCCTTTTTGAGTGTGCTTGGTAAATTGACTGGACTTCAGCTGATTTTCTGTAAACAATGGCCTTCCTGTTTACAAATAGACCAGGCACCAGCTGCTTACTGTGTAGTGTGGCAAACAGTATATTACAACTTGATTTTTAAACATACCCATTAATTAGTATGCAATAAGAATCAGTTGACTGTTGAAAGCTATGTTTTTGTTTAGTTTGACCGCAAACTATCTGCCTACTGTCAAGTGTGGCAGCAAAATTCTATCTGAACTACAGTAGCATACTGTATTAGGAAATCCGATATGTTCCACTGGTTCCCGTGATGTTCCAGAAGTGTAACCTTAGTAGAGGAGGATTCGTTTCTCTACAGCCTTCCTACAGATGGGACACTCTGACATTCGGTCTCCGCACATCTGACATGTTCCGTGGCCGCAGAGGAAGATCATGTTCTTCAGTCTGTCAAGACAAACAGGACACATTGTTTGCTCCTTGATGTCTTGCAGCTGCTGCTGCAGTTTCTGTATGTCGGAGTTAGAAGTGTCTCTGCTTCCGTTGTTCATCAGCACAGGCTCCGTCGGGGACGTGACTGACGTTGACTCCTCCACCACTTCATTGCTGATCTCTGTCGACTCGCCCGGCGCACCGCAGCACACGTTGAAGGGGACCATGGATTCTATGTGAGCTCGGCAATGGACACACTTTTTGATCAAGGGTGCACAACACTCACAGACCACCATGTGACCACAAGGCTTGACGAGAACACTGGCACGTTTGTAGGCACATAGTAAACATTCTTCAATTTTTGACCGGTTCGCGACGTGCTCCCGACATATCAAACACTTCTTTACCCTTGGCGCACAGACAGAGCAGCATGCGACATGGCCGCACGGTTTGAACAACATGTCACGTTTCAGATCTGAGCAGACCAAACACTCGTCGGTGATGTCTTCGTTGTTGTCATCGGGATTTCTAGGTTCGATCTGATCTGTGTTTTTGTCCTTGTGGCATTTCGCTAAAGCCTTGCACAAGTTCGGGTCGGGGCAAAGGTCCAGTGGAGTTTGACCCTTTTTATTCTTTACACCTAAATCTGCTCCGTTACCAGCCAGAAAACAAGCGATACTTGCAGAACTCTTTTTGTCTGCTCCTTGACTCCCCAGGCCGACCAAGAGTTTTCCCACGTCTTGTACGTCTTGAAGCTGCCTCAACTGGAAAAGAGTGTGATGCCTCAGAGCTTCATGTAGAGGAGTGTCTCCGTCTTTATCAGGAATATTCAAATCCGCACCTTCTCTGACCAACAATCTGACAATCTGTGTGTGCTGCCTTTCTACAGCGAGATGCAACGCAGTCTGAAGATTTACATTTTGCAAATCCATATTGGCCTTCCCGTGGTGTACCAGCAGCTCTGCCACTTCCACATGGTTGTTCAAAGCGGCCAAGTGCAATGCTGTGTACCCATCGTCTTTCTTCTCATCTACAATCCACCTTCTTGGCAACTTCAGTAATAGAATCCACATTGCACTCGGGTTACCTCTTAATGCAGCATGGTGAAGAGCATTGAAACCGTTATTGTTGGTCAACATTATATCAGCATTGTGGTCAAGAAGAAGGGTCAGCATGTCATCTCGTTTCTTGGATATCGCATCATGTAGAGGAGTGTCTCCTTCAGAGTCTTGCAGACTCGGGTGACAGCCAAGTTCGAGTAACGTTTTCACAACTCCGACGTGACCTTTATTGACCGCTATGTGAAGAGCTGTTTGACGTCTCTTGTTCCTAGCGTTCAAGTCAGCTCCAGCGTGAGCCAGAAGCTCCATCACACCGGGCTCATCTCCAAAAGCAGCATGGTGAACAGCTCTATCCCCATCCTTGTCTTCGACTTCAACATCAGCTTGGTACCTTAAAAGGATTTTGATTACTTCCAAATGTCCATTTTGACTCGCAGCCTGCAAAGCTGTGTGACCTCCAAATACCCCATTCACATCAGCATCCATTCTCTTCAACGATTCTTCCACTTTCTGTGCGTCTCCGTTAGCAGCCGATTTTACCAACTCTTCATTGACATCTCCTGAGACGTGAGTTTCAAATAACTTCTTCAAGAGAGCACTCAATCGTTCTCCACTGGAGTTTCCATGCATTGTTCCATCTGAAGATGCCACTTTTGTTACTGCCATTGGATTGTAGGTCCATGAAGTTCCACAGACTTCAACCTAAAACAGTTAGAATAATGACATTTGTCTTCAGGATTGATGATTTGTGTTGTTATTCTTGGTATGATTAGAAGTTGAAGGAAACAAAACTACAGAAAATTGTTTACTAAAAATTAATTATTAACTACAGTGTAATACAGCAAAAAAACTGTATAAACTTGTATTAAATAACTGGAGAAAGGCATTGGAAGATTCTAAGGATTTAGTATTTATTTGCCTAGTAAAAGAGTTAATGATCTTTGTTTTATCCTTCAAAGAGAAGTGCTAATACAGAAGTGATTTAGTTTCTACATAGAAATCATACGATCAATACAATTTTAAAAAATATTGCTATGTATCCGTCTGAATGATATCTATGTAATCTATGAAAATGCTGGCAGTGACAGTGAAATGATCTTATGTTTTGTGTGTCTTGTGAAAGTTTGGATTCTTTCCTATTCAGGCAAGCCTGGTATCCTCACTAAGAATCCTATTATGTCTACTGTAGGTATGTTATCCTAAGCACTAACCTTCAGGTCGTTGTCATGGTAAATCTGCTGTACACGCCCTATCTTTCCCAATGTAGGGGCCATGGCCTCTGCCCACTCCCCATGTCCACGCTGCAGAATCTTGATCCTCTCCAAGTCTGAGCAAATCTGCACAAGATCTCCGACGGCAAACACTGTCTGACTGTCTGCAGTGCTGGTTGAGGCAACTGCCACCGCCACCTATATAGCACAGAATCTTAATTAGATGAAGGTCTGCAAGAAGATACACCTTCAAGATGCATATTTAAAGAACCACATTTGAGATTTTTTCAATCACTGTTGAAGTACATTTTACTATTGAAAGGGTTACTATTAGTTATACTTTTTGAACATATGAAAACCTAATCGTTTTGAACAGTAAAATTAGGAACTAAATCCTACTTAATTGAATTCATCTTTGAAATTTGGCAAAGAGCCAACTATGCCAATCATGGTGGTAAATTTATGTTCCACTCTGTAACAGGTTGCTTTAAAAGGAAATTATTTAAATTTGTTCCAAGAATTTAACAAGTTTAGTTGAGCCATACATTGTAAGAGTTTAAACCGATTTTTTATGGGCTTTATTTTTTGGACTAGAGCAATAGATAGGAGTGTAGATGGTTTGACCTTCTGGTTGATAATTGACGTACTATGAATATCCAGTGATTAAAACTAATAGGCCTAGCTATGAAGAAAATCACCAAAACCTAAAAATCTACATTTCATGTTATTCTTATGGAGGATAAGTATACTGCTGGAAATAAGTAGTTTGCTTGTTTGTGGACATATTTTCATTAAATTTTGGAAAAATGTATTTATTTCAAATCAAGTTATTTTCGTTTTACTACAAAAAACATTTTCCCCACCCCATACCAGCAAACCTAAGCACTTATTAAACCTAATGTTATTTTAATGGTTATTTTAATTGGGCATGTTTAAGAAAATATTTTGGTAAAAATCCAACCAGACAAATGCAAATTCTCTTAATCTGCAGGTTAGCTGCTGCGGGGGTATTTTGTCCTCACCTTGGTGAGCACTGCGGGGTTGAACGTCCACCGGTTGCCACTGGGGTAGCTGACGACTATGTCGTGGTCCTCGTCTATCCCCACCACTGTGCCAGTCGACCCCAGACATTCGAACATTCCGTCAGTCCAGCCGCCGTGGCCGTGCTGTAGAGACTGTACAATCTCTAGCTCTAGATCAACATTCACCTGTGGACAACAGGACAGAATGTGTTACGAGGTCATGAATGGACTACAGGCTCTTTGATGTTCAAAATGTGTAAGAGTGGTCACGTCACAGTTAAAAGACTTAGCCTGCACCTTATAATATGCCGACTAGTTTGATAGCACGTGCAACATTGTCAAAGCTCTCTACACTTATTTTAGTGTAGAGGATAATAATTTTTATTTAAATTAAGGTATAGTAATGATAACAGATAAAAAGGGAGTATGTTCTGTTTTATGCAGGTGCATAAACCAATTTGTCATGTTAAATAATCTTTATTTTTTTGTGTATCATTCATGTTTTGTCTATTTATTTTGATGTTTTTAAGAGGAGCAAGGTTTTACAACGTTACGCTTACAACCAAGCTAGTCAGCATGTTATATGTGTAAGCTAACACAAATTTGCGTAAACATGAGGGAACAGTTGGCAACCCACCTGATCTCCGATCTGTAGTCCGTGAGGTCCTGCCCTGCCTGGACCTTGTTCTCCAAGCAACGGGAGATGATCCTTGTAGACAGTCTGTCCTTTGGCGTCGTTCACCACCTGAAACATTGCATTATTATAAAAATACAGTAAAAGCCCGTTTATCCGGCATTGTTGGTCCAGCACTGTCAAAAACCCAAAATCGTCTAAATGTCCCAAAAAAATGTTTGAATGCTGTTTTACGCTATATTAGCACGTTCAGCAGAGTTGGGAGCAATATAGTCCAGGAGCTGAGGGGGTTTGAGCATGCATAAAAGTAGTACGCAATGTTATTGCTGATTATTGTAATATGGACTGTGGTGATCAAAATTATGTATGTCGCCTATTTCAAAAGTGGTCGATAAGGTGGGGGGGAGGGGGCAAACATGGCGGTTTGCGCTATGCGTTAAAACGCTGATAGTTCGAAAACGGTAAAAGATAGAACATCGGTTAAAACGTCGTTGTAATTCTAAAAATGTGGACAACAATAATGGTTATTGGGTCCAAGGTCGTATCTCTATAAATAAACAAGTTATTGTATAAAATATGTAAAACTGGACTTTTCGTGTAGTTTTTTTTACCGAAAGTAGAATTAATTTGTGAGTGTCGCAAAGAAGTAATATCAAATATCTTTGCTGAAAGTTGTAATATGGACTGCGGTGATAAATAATACGCATGTCGCCTACTTTTCAGGTGGTCGAGAACTTGGGGGGAGGGGGGCAAAGATGGTGGAACGCGCTATGCATCGAAACGACTGTAGCTCGAGAACGGTACGAGATAGGACAGCGGTTAAAACGTAATTTTTTGATCCAAAAAATATTACCAATAGAAAAGGTCATTGGGTAAAAAGTTGTATCTTAACTAATAAAAAAGTTATAACAATAATAAGTTTAACAAAATCTACATCGTACAGCTATTTTTTTCGAAAATCGTATGGATTGTTGATAAATAATAGTGTAATTACTTAATTACTCGGCTAAATATTAACTAGATGCATTTTCTTATAAGAAAAAAATATATTATTACGAATACATCTGGTTTAAAATGTAAAAGACGGTCTCCAAACGCCTTGGGGTTCGTCCGATAGGTTGCGTCATAATTGCTGCGCAGTGCTGCTGATATCGGCACAACTGTTAATCCCCCCAAAGTTCATTGCCTTCCAACTCAGTGATATCGGGCTTGTGAAAGTGTTTTTACTGTTTAATACTACTGACATTTATTGTGTTTTATTTATACAAATAACATTCTTTTATAAATTTTAATAGTTATTTAAATATTTTAAATTTCAATACATTTTATTTTAAGTTGCTTACGTTTGTTTTAATTGTGTGTGGCTGGTTTTTTATATACGTTTGTTCTTAGTGACTAGTGGATTAGGCATATTGTAATAACCTACAACATTATAATAATTAAAATTGGATTTGTAGTGGTAGTCTGTATTATGCATTTGATTGCGGCGAAACCCTAAGTATTGCAGTATATGTAGTTTGGAGGCCGTGTTTTACATTTTAAACCAAATGTATTCGTAATAATATTTTTTTTTTCTTATAAGAAAATGCATCTAGTTAATATTTAGCCGAGTAATTAAGTATTTACACTATTATTTATCAACAATCCATACGATTTTTGAAAAAAATAGCTGTACGATGTAGATTTTGTTAAACTTATTATTGTTATAACTTTTTTATTAGTTAAGATACAACTTTTTACCCAATGACCTTTTCTATTGGTAATATGTTTTGGATTAAAACTACGTTTTAACCGATGTCCTATCTCGTACCGTTCTCGAGCTACAGTCGTTTCGATGCATAGCGCGTTCCGCCATCTTTGCCCCCCTTCCCCCCAAGTTCTCGACCGCCTGAAAAGTAGGCGACATGCGTATTTTTTATCACCACAGTCCATATTACAACTATCAGCAAAGATATTTGATATTACTTCTTTGCGACACTCACAAATTAATTCTACTTTCGGTAAAAAAACTACACGAAAAGTCCATTTTTACATATTTTATACAATAACTTGTTTATTTATAGAGATACGACCTTGGGCCCAATAACCATTATTGTTGTCCACATTTTTAAAATTACAACGACGTTTTAACCGATGTTCTATCTTTTACCGTTTTCGAACTATCAGCGTTTTAACGCATAGCGCAAACCGCCATGTTTGCCCCCTCCCCCACACATTATCGACCACTTTTGAAATAGGCGACATACGTAATTTTGATCACCACAGTCCATATTACAATAATCAGCAATAACATTGCGTACTACTTTTATGCATGCTCAAACCCCCTCAGCTCCTGGACTAATAGGCATATGTGTGGACTGCTGGGAGCCATCAGCAGACATTGGTTGCACCCAATTAAATTCAAGGGTGTTTTATTTTAATTTAATTTTTAGAATTTTATATCACCATTAAAACAACAGAAAGCACATAGAATAAAATATAAGAAACACACATGTTTTGTTTTTATGTTGTTTTTTGTTTTTTATATTGTTTTTATAAGAAACATGTTTTGACACTTATCATAAGTAGACTCCACGGGACCGAGGCCAGTCCGGATAACAGGTTTTCCGGTTAAACCGACGTCCCCAACCGTTTACTGGTGGTATTTGACTTAAATTTAGGAGAGCATTGTTTTTAGACCCTTGATCACTGGTCTCAAATGTTTTCCACGAGAACAGTCGTTTCGGTACAGCCCACTTCCTGCCGATCTAGTCCAGCTAAACCGATGTCCGGTTAAAACGTGTCCGGATAAGAGGGAGTCTACTGTAGCGGTATTTATACTAGTCTCTCAAAAGGCTACATTTAATAACACACATGACATTGAATAAGGAGTTCAGAAATTCAGTATTTCCAATAATTCAGCACTGTCAAAGTCCCGAACCGGATTAGTGAGTGTCTACTGTAGCTTCTAAAGTAGGGGTTTCTCTAGGACACCTGTTCTTTCCGGTTTCTAGTATTATTTTTCTAGTGATTTATAGTATTTCTAACGGAGGACCTAAGAGAATTTTTTTTTAATGAGTACTGACCTTATTTGAAATGTATAAGATTGTGTTCACAATATAAAATATTTCCTCACTTTAAGGTCAGCCATTCCCTCGAAGCCAACCCTGTAGAGGTTCTTTGCACCGTTGTCCCACACAACGTAAGCAGCTGACCGAGGCGAGGCCGCAGACCAATCCTGTATCTCGTTAACCTGTGAAACACATCATTGCTTTAAGACTAAGAAGAACAGGTTAATAATAGCTAGACTCAGCCAAGTTTCTGTTTGAAAGTCATATTCATTTGTAGGTTTTACATCTAGGGGTCTCTAGATTTGGAAATTGTGGATATTTATACAAACTGATAAGACAATGATCATAAAAAATCCCACTTACCTTCCCTCGTCGTAAGTTTCCCCCATCCTGGTCCTCCCACTGCCAGTCAACTCCTCGTACAACTCTTGCCCCAGGAAAAATACCTCGTACTGCCACCTGCGGCAAACAGTTGAATTAAAACTTGTCTAAATATGAAGCACTACCTCAGACAAACCATGAGCTCACCCATATTACTGGTATTAACATAACTGTTGGATAGATCTCTTTAACAGATTGTTCCTACTCAGTAAACATAATATTAAAACATATTATTGAAGGCGTTTAGTCTTTTCGGCCAAATTAAAAGTATTCTTAAAAATAACGATAATTAGTTGATGAAAATGAAGGAAAATAAGTAACATGATTCAATATCTAATTTGTTATACAGTCTAACCTTAATATAACGAACCTCGATACAACGAATTCCTTGATATAACAAATTTTTTTAAATCCCCTAGAACTCTCCATAAGAGACAATGTATATTTTACCTCTACATAACGAACAAACCATAACAACGACCTTGATTTAACGAAATTTTCATGATTTCGGCTAAAATAAGACACCTCAATAGCGAATTTATCATTGTCAGAACCTCTACATTGCAAATTTAACCTCTGCATAACGAATTGTCTACGTCTTTCCCTCAATATAACAAATCCCCCACCCCATTATTGTTTTTGGAAAATCTGTTTCTTTATCAAATTAAATAGAATGGTGACGTAATCGCTTGCGCTAACCTTCGTCTGCTCCGTTCTACACATCTCTTGTCTGCTGTCGCTGCGCGCGCTATGTTGCAACTGAGAACTGATTTCATTCACTGAGGACTGATGACGACGTAATGTTTAGTAAGCTGTGATTGGGCGATAAGTAACTATGGTGAATTGTACAATTTTTGGATAAAGAGAAACCTAAGAAAGAATATAAAAACAAAACCAAAAAGAAAGAATAGCAACATCGTTATTTTAACATTCCTTTTTCGAGTGTTTTTATTACCGGTATCTTTAAGTTGGCTATGATTATACACTTTTATAATGACTTATCTAATTATTTATTGTTTTCAATACGACTTGTTTCAACTAGCAACACCAATGCTATAGTTAATGATTATTATTGACATTCCTCTGTAGTGATAAATCAGTACTGTACTGTAAGTAGCCTACCGGCCTATCACGAGCAGTAGCTTACAAAACTTTCTACTACTGTTTTGTTTGTTCTTTACATGGCTTATTATATTACTACACAATAAAGTGTTTGGCTAGGTTTTAGGAGGGTTAGAACAAGCTGTGATTTTAAACTTACAGTTTTTTTACCTGTACCAAGGTCAATGCCATTTTCATGATTGCGCAATATTCAAGATCCCTCCCCTTTTTTATGCCGTATAATTTAGGTTCTACTGTACAATGTAAACACTGTACTGTAAAGTATTGTAGCCTATGCTACTTTAATTGTGTTTTAATGATGTCTAATCCCGACCTATATTGACCGACGCTGGTTCTGAACCTCGACTTAGCGAAATTCCTGCAAACATAACCTCTATATAACGAACCTCGTTTTAACGAAATCCTTGATATAACGAATATTTAGTTCGGTCCCTTCAGATTCGTTATACTGAGGTTGGACTGTACAAGTGTAACAAGATTAAAAGGTGTAATAAACTAAAGATATAGGTAAGATTCAAAGGTACCTTTGAACTTCATAGAAAAAGGTTATAGATATGTTTTTGAATCCTATGAGATAAAGGTTAGGTATGACACCTTAACAGCTAATGATTCATATTGAACGTCCATACAAAGCATTTTTAGTGAAAATAGTAGGCCTAAAAGTGTTTAGGCGCATTGGTGGAAATTACTGTTCTTGGACTGGAACAAAATCCTAAAAAAACTGCCAGTTCATGGCTCAATCCCTCCATGAGCATGAGGAGTAGCTGTAAGGAGTATGAGCTGAGGAGCAAACCTCAGCCTGCTTTCTTCTTCTAGTTATTACTTACAGTTTCTTTCAGTCTTTTGGGTTAAAGCATTGCAGATAACAACATTAAATTAAGAATCATTCTTTGGGATGTTCATGATTTTGCCACAATCAACGGAGACGATAATGATGTCTACACAACCGCAAGAGATGTTAATGATTTTGCTGCGATCGCGGATGACAATGTTGAGGTTTCTGTGACCTCGGGAGACAATGACGTCAACATGGCCGCAGGAGATGTTCATGATTTTGCCGTGACTGAGGAAGACAGTGATGATGTTCCCTTAATTGAGGAGGATATTTCATATTTCGCAGTGATCCCAGGAGACAACAATGATATCTTCAAGACCGCTGGAGACGATCACGATATTACCTCGAGTTTGGCTTGACTGAAAATATCACACTGGCACACCTCTATAATATTTTATTTTTGTTGTTAGGTCTTCATTTACCTTTAATACGTTCACTGCTATGGAAGAATTCACGATCCATTCCCCAGTGGCTGCATCATTATTTTTGTCAAAGACATTTAAAATAAGTTTATTTATGTCAAAGCTTTTAATCCATGTAAAATATAGCCAATATGTATAACAATTATATATGGACGCCTATGTGCGTCCGCAGCCCCCAGCAAGAAATTTTGAGAGTTTTGGTGTTGGATGCTGCGGGCGCCTATAGGCGTCCTTGTATGAATCGGTTGCTAGGCCATAATGCTCGTCTAGCATGACGTCACGATAGAAGACGGCAATGACGTAATGTTTGCCGTTTGTGATCAGCTGCTTGTTTTAATATTTTCATCGAAAACAAAAATATAACCTTAATTACGTCATTGCCGTCTTCTATCGTGACGTCATGCTAGACGAGCATTACGGCCTGTTGCTACAAAGAGAAAACAAGTCCTTTTTCCTTTGAATATATTTATATATTTTTTTACATTTTTATTTTTAATATTTTGAACGAGAAATTGGTTACAAAACATGAAGTGAAAATAGTAAGACTGAATAATACTTAAAAATAATCATACAAGTTAACATTTGTGGATGAATATATGTATATATTTTTTTACATTTTTTATTTTTTATATTTTGAATGAGAAATTGGTTACAAAACATGAAGTGAAAATAGTAAGACTGAATAATACTTAAAAATAATCATACAAGTTAACATTTACGGAGGCTGCATTTAGAGGCGACATTATTTTGAACATTCATAATAAAGCAAGTTTGATCCCACATGAAGATCCTTGTGATAGGCCTCTCTTACTGGTGATATTTCTTGAAACATGGCTCCAAGCATAAGCCGGGATTTCCAGGACAGGCGATGCAGTGGTAGATAGTGACTTTCCTTTTGTTTTGTTCAGTTTTGCAAACTCTGCACTTTTTCCTCATTACTCTACCATTTTCGCCGACTAAGCATTTGGTTGGAAGATGCTCCGTGTTTCTGGGCATGGGTTCCCTTCTTACTAATTGTTTTTCTGAAAGAAGGCGTCTTATGATTTGAAGCCTGAAGTCATACAGTGCCAGTTTTCCTGAGGTCGTGTACTTGTTGAACAAAGAGAACGAATTCAACATCATCATTACAAAATAGTGAATGAACAGCTTCTTGTACCAGCGAATGGTTTTCCGCTCTGCTGGGTAGTATGCCATCATCTGATCCTTACGATCGATTCCAGACATATACGCGTTGTATCTTACTATTGGAAGTGGCTTCATAGACATTTGACCTCTCCGATTTGTTGCTTGGGTCATTGTGTTGTCAAATTCAGTAGAGAGGTAGAGAACGGCTCTTTTATCACGCCATTTCCCTACCATGACATGTTTTTCAGAGAACAGGCAAGTCGTTTCCCCTTTTTCCAGTTTGGAATTTACAACATCCTTTGGGTTGTGTTGCCTGTTGGCCAATAGGGTTCCTGTTACGTGGGTACCCTGTTCTAGCAGTTCTTTGGACAGGTCATGGGAGTTATAAAAATTATCCATGAACAATGAATGTCCGTGGTTCTCTCTACCTGTCATGAGGGCTTTTACAATTTTGTTAGTATGTCCCTTGCCACCAAGTTCATCACTTTTACCTGTATACACGATAGTGTTCAAGACCAGGCCATTTGGCTCACAAAGAGTGTAAATCTTGATGCCGTACTTGTGGCGTTTATTTTTTATGTATTGCCTAAATTGTAGACGTCCACGCCAGAGAATCATCGCTTCATCCAAGCTCAATTCCTTACTAGGATAATATATTTCGGACATTCGGTTGTTCAGATAGTCTATCACTGGACGAATTTTGAACAACTTGTCATTCCCATCATTGTTGTTGTTGAAATGAAGGTGGCGCAGTATTAGGAAGAACCTATCTCTGCTCATGTATTGGGGAAACACTGACAAAAACAATGGATCTGTTTTCCAGTAATCGGAAAGCCTTGGCATTTTGATTGTTCCCATGTGTAAAATTAAACCCAAAAATATTTTGAGCTCACTTACTGTAATGTCAGTCCACTTATTGATCCGGGAATGCTCCAACAGATCTGATCTACCAAAAAATGTGTCCAAGGCGTAACTGTTAGATTCTTTTACTATTTTTTCTAAAAACGAATCTTCCACTAGCATTTCAGAATAGTCAACTGGAGTATTATTGCCAGGTATGGGAACTAGAAGCTCATTTGTTTTTGTAAAATATATGTCATCAACTAAGTTACAATTAGGTGACCATTTGTACTTAGGAGGTTGAGTTTTTTTAGCCCTACCTCTTGCAGCTTCCTGAGTTGGACGGTCTTCCGGCTGAACGGGGTCGTCTTCTGTAGGCCTACCTCCTGTAGCTGCCTGAATTGGATGGTCTTCCGGCTGAACAGGGTCGTCTTCTGTAGGCCTACCTCTTGTAGCTGCTTGAGTTGGTCGGTTGTCCGGCAGAACGGGGTCGTGTTCTGTAGGCCTACCTCTTGTAGCTGCCTGAGTTGGACGGTCTTCCGGCTGAACGGGGTCTGGGTCATCTGGGTCAGATTCCAGTTGATCTTGAGTTGAAACCGGGTTGTTACTGTTATTGAACACTGTGTCAATTTCACCGAAATCGCTTGTAGGCCTACTATTATCATTATCACAGTTTTGTTGACTGTCATCACTGTCATAATCACTTTCTGGGACGTAGTCACAATCTTCACCATCATCAAAAGTATCCTCATGTGATGAAGCATAATCTTCATCAGAGTCGTAATACAATTGGTCGATCTCACTAACAGTAAGATTGTCTACATCGATGTAATCACCGTCACATTTTTGTTTTTTACGGTTTGAAGGTCCTGGATTTTCATCCATGATTTTCACTATTACGAACTATTGCAAAACTACGAACGATCACCACTAAAACATAACCCAACTCTTCAACAACAACACACCGTAGCGCAAAAACACGTGAAATGAACGACCAGCTGATATCTTGGCGCCAAACACGATGCTACACGAAGCGCCTATCGGCGTCCGCCGCACGCGTAAAGGGACACCGCTCGGCCGCCGATCGGCGCCCGTCGCACTGAACGTGTTAATATGGTAATATTTAATGGGTTTGGAAGAGAAAATTGGCTAGACTATTTCATAGCTGCATACATTTTTTATTTTTTCTTTACTCGAAAAACACCCCATTAACCCTTAAAAATATGTAATGGAAGAACATAAAGACGATGATGGAGTGTTGATTGGATGGGGAGTAGGTTGAACATGTTGGTGTAGTATAACTAATCCATTTAGAATTTTGGTCAAACTATAAAAAATGGTATCGGTATCAAGAATGGATACATTTTGTTATCGACACATCATTACTAAAACATATTCGAAAGAATATGCTCAATGATATAGCATTAAGGTTATTTTCTCATACGAAAATAAGCCTACGGTAATTTTTTTTTCTAAAAGGTAATTATTTCTAAATATTATTTTGATTAATGTACCTTTTTACTTTTCCTTCTCGGCTCTTGAAGCACCCGCTCACTGCCAGGGGTAGTGATTCTGTAGAATCTGCAACAAAAAATTAACGTTATAAACAGTAGCATTTTCAATAGACATATACATAGACATACTTTATTCGCAAAAAACATTCCATAACATTTAGAATAGGTGCATTGTCAAAATTATATCCATACATAAAATATTTAACATTTAAACTTAACTTAAAATTAAACACTTAAAATGAAAAAAAAAATAAAAATGTTCTAAATTGAAGTTCTGTAAAAATCTTCAATTAAGTAAAAAGCCTTGTCAATAAGTAAATTATCTATTGTCTCTTTAAATTTGGTTTTGTTTAGTGACTTATAGCACGAGGGAAACACATTGTACAATATCAGCCCAGCATATAATGGAAACTAAACATACAATACATAGAAAACTGTTACCTTATTGATAACCTGTGTTAAGTAATTTAAGTTGGGTCATTTTTATTTTATTTTTATTTTTTTAAGAGGTTGGCGGCCTCTTTTAACCTTGCATTTGCCCGTCCACATAGACTACAGATCTGTGCGTGGAACGTATCCAGCAAAGCAAGGGGTGAGCCGGTACAGTACGAAGGTGAACTGTACTGATAAAATGTTTTCGACAGTGACCAGGATCCGAACACACGACATCGCTGCCTTGACCCCGAAGTCCGTGACACTACCGACTAAGCCACCGATTCACCCACACGATTTGGGACATCCCCCTAATCAAACGAATTTTCTCTGTAGAGAAACCTGAAAAGTGGGGTGATATACACCATTTCATGTGCTCCATTTTTTACCCACAAACTCAGGGTTACCAACTGGACAGCCATAATCTGCTTTGAATAGGCTAAAGCAGCAACACCATTGAAAGTTGGTTAACGTGTTGTCTGTCAGTCACAGTACATGCCCCGCACTCAACATTCTCACGTTGTTCAGAGGAGTTTGTACCTGTCCAAAAGTTTTGAAAGTGTCGAAATAGGTCCATTCATTTGTCGAAATAGGTTGGATAACTCTTGTAGCTTTAAGATTTGGATAGCAATTTACATTTTCTCTTTTTGAACAGCGTATATTATTTGCCTCTCCTGAATAAAAAAAAAAAAAAAAACTTGACCGTAACTACTCGAACGTTGAATAAACACTACTTCCTTCACTTATGTTTGGTCTAATATTGCCACTAAAACTTTCAATAGTAAATGAGTTTTTGAAACTTCTTATTTTTGACTTGAAATGTCTGGATTGTGTAGGTGAATACAGTCAAAGAACTTTATAAGTTTGTCCGAGGAACTGGCAACATAACCTAGAAGTAAACAATCCATTTGCGATTTTTCTCAACTGAAGTAACAGTAATACAAAAAAATGAAAATGAAAAAAATGAAAGTGAGTAATACAAAAGTTTAAAATAAAACATAAGGTCCGCCAAGATTTGGTATAATCTTACTACTTGAACTTATCATAGTCAAGTCCTTAATATAGTTTGTACTAAATGTTTTGAAATATCTTGATCTGTCAGTGTCGGAAGTAAACATTTAACTTGCATGCATTCATTTGATCTGACATTAGGCAAGTTTACTTTACCACCATGACAACACTATGTGCTTCGTATATTTTTTCACTTCCAAAGTAACTTGCATAGCAGAACTGGCAAATATTATTCATCTCACCAAGTGAATGTGTATCTGGATGGGTATCTGTTAGACCAGACCTCTCTTTTTCTACTCTCCTCATACGCAAAAGATATTACCTTATTATTAATCGTCTCCTCCTCCCGTTTTCAATATTTCTTCTTTGAATTTGAGGCATTTTCTGTACTTCCAACAAAACTGGTTAACTGTTTAACTTGGTCTTAACCTCTGAATATTACAAACATTAATATTTACTCCCAAAAAGATAAGGAGTTTCTTTTTATATAAACAGCTGTTTTTTGTTTTTAAATTTGTTCCATATATTTCTTATGGGGAAAACCCGGCCTTTGAGAGGGTCTCATGCCCTTAAGAGTTGGAATTTTAAAGTTCTAAAACCTTATTGCAAAACTACATATTGAGACAAATCTTTTGACACCTTAAACGTTAATAGTCTACAAATAAGGGAGGAGTTGCGTTAACAAAAAACGGCTTCACGTATTATATATACATATAGATTTCTTGCTAACTAACCTATTTACAGTTTACTAAAAAAACACTTAAACTTATTACCTTCCCTGTAGTAGCCTAACTAGCAAACCTAAGTGCTCGTTAAAACTTATGTTATTTAAATAGCAAATAAATCTGATAATTTTAAGGGAATATTTTAGTGAAAATCCAACCTCCGAAATGGAAATTCGCTTAGTCTGCAGGTTTGCTGCTGTGGGGTATTTTGTATTGTACCGATCAAATGCCCTCCAAAATGGCCACTAAGTTTACCTAAAACACACATCATGCAAGGCAAGTAGCAGTGGCGTAAGTACTTTTACTTTTTAATACTTATCAATGAAATGGCGACCACATCCCCGCAGTGAGGGGGGGGGGCGCCGAGGTTCGACTATCACCGCTAACCGCAATCGCGGAAAAAGGCGGTGACCGAGGGAGACGATCACGGCAAAAGATGACGCCGTTTCCGTGACCGTCCGAGACGAAGATGATGTCTACAAGACCAAAGAAGATATTTAATGATTTTGCCACAAAAGGGGAAAAGTATTACGTTGTTTCTGTGACCGCGGGAGACAAAGATGATAACTTCAAGACCGAAGACATTAATGATTTTGCCGCGATCGAGGGAAAAGATGACGTTTCTGTGACCATGGAAGATGAGTATGATGACTACAATACCGCGGATGTGTACAACATGTTGCCACAATCACGGTAAACAATGTCAATGTTTCCATGACCGAGGGAGACGATGAAAAAACATCCGCCAGAGTTTTTGGTTTTTTCCGCAATATCGGCTTTTGCTGAGATAAATGAATAAAACAAAAGTGGTGATGTTGTAGTTGGGTGGGGGAGAGGGGGGGCACCACTCACTGTACTTAAACACCACTGGCAAGTAGTGTCAAATTCTGGACTAGATGTCATCTCCATTTTCTGTGGCATGGTAATTATGTTAGTCTATATTTCAAGCTTATTGATAAGTGTTTTCTAGGTATTGGCCTTTGTCTTATACAGAGATTTAATTTTGGCAACTATACCAGCTAATTCTTTAACTTAGTCAATCAAATAATTAACTTGCATAGGACTATAAAATAATGGCAAACAATAAAAGCACTCAGCTACTTAACAGCTATAATATGGTTTACTTACCTATGCCTCAGCGGATGTTTGTCTCCGTGATAGCAGATTGAGCAAAGATCGTAATTGGCACACTCGGCACACTTCCACCGGATGCCGAAGATCGGTTGATGTCGACACATATCACACATGGTCCCGTCGTGCTTTACTCCTGCAAATGTAGAGGCGCTAGTTTTACGTATGTTTGTAACTTGAAAGTTTACATTAGATTGAGCTGTGTAGCAATATAAATTGCAACTTAAGTCATGCCAAAGGATTACAACATTGGTACATTGTCACTCGCCTGGTGAAATATATTAATTACATAGATAGCATTCCATTGGCCCATGTAAATTTCCAGTGGAGAATGGTGAATGCCTTAGATATTGTAAATACTGTAAATAGCTTTAAATCCTCTAATAGTAAGGATATTTATGATATGTCGGCTAATTTTATGAAAAGGATTGTCATTTTGATTGCTCCAATCTTGGCCCATCTGTTTAGCTCCTGCCTTCTGCAGGGTGTTTTTCCTGATGTACTGAAAGTATCTAGAACAGTGCCAGTATACAAGAAGGGCCCTAGGGATGTAATGGAGAGTTTTAGACCGGTGTCTTTAATACCGGTGTTTGGTAAAGTATTTGAGGTGATCATGTTGAATCAGCTCTGTAACCACTTTGAGGGGAATAACCTCCTTGCCCCTATTCAACATGGTTTTCGGAGGGGAAGGTCTACAGTTACGGCTGTAGATTCTCTCCTTCAAGTAATCTTGGAAGCTTTTGAGAGCAAGTCGTCAACTGCTGTTCTTTTGTGCGATTTATCTCGTGCGTTTGACTCTGTTCCTCATGACAACTTAATTGAGAAATTTAAGAAGTATGGCATTGGGGGGAGTGCCCTCAAGGTGGTGCAGTCTTATCTAGACAATAGGTCTCAGATTGTAAGTTGGAATGGTAGCAACTCGAGTGCCATTGAGGTCAGATGTGGAGTCCCGCAGGGCTCAGTGTTAGGGCCCTTCCTTTTCATTGTTGCCATGAATGATCTGTATCATTGTGTTTCTCATGACATGTTGTTGTACGCGGATGACACTACTTTGTTTATGAACCATCCTGATCCTTATATTGCGTGTAATAATGTTGATGTGTTGTTTAATGCAGCCTCAGATTGGTTTTCTGGTAATAAGCTAGCACTTAATGAGGGAAAAACACAAGGAATATTGTTTAGCCTAAGCAAGAAAGTACTTGAGGGTAACACAGTAAAGTTGTTGGGTTTCACTTTGGACTCTGAACTTGGGTGGAGTGATCACATCGATGCCCTTTGTGTTAAACTTAGTAGAGTCACTCATCTGCTTAGGAGGCTCATGTGTGAAGTTCCCCTTAATTTTGTGAGACTCGCTTTTTTCTCTTTTTTCCAGTCCCACATTTTGTATGGGACAAGGCTCTGGGGTCACTCCCCTCATGTTCGGAGAATCCTGATATGGCAGAAAAAGGCAGTGCGAGTTATATGTGGGGCACACTATCTAGCACATTGTAAGCCATTGTTTGTACAGTTGCAGATTATGACAGTCATTAATGTATATATTTATCAATGTTTAATTGCCATCAAGTCTGAGGAGTCTAGCTTTGTTTTAAACAAGGAGGTACACACACATGACACAAAAAGCTCCAATAGCATACATTTGACTAGTCATAGGCTAAGTTTGACTCAGAAATGTTTTCCTGTTTCAGGCATAAAATTTTTTAACAGCCTACCGATTGAAGTACGGTCCTTGTGTACCTCTAAATTTTGTACGGTCATAAGAAAATGGTTGGTATTAAATCCTCTGTACAAAATTGAGGATTTCTTTGAGGCTATAAGGGCTAAGCCCATTTCACCTGGATGGTTTTGCCTGTAATCTGGTATGTAAGTTTGCTATTTTGTTTTGCTTGGCTTGCTGTTTTGTTTTTTATGCATGGTTTGCTGTGTGAGTTTGCATTTTGTAATTTATTATTTGAAATTACTTTATTTATTTATTTTAGCAGTTAAGTTATTTAATGTATGAGACAATGCCTATTGTACATTTTGTATTGAATGGCAAATAAAGCTTTTGAATCTTTTGAATCTTTGTCTTACTGAACAGATGTTTACGATTGGAATATCATTATAAATATTATAAATAAATAAATAAATAAATCTTTACTGTCACATAACGTTTACAAAATATAGCAATGCTATAAAACAGGTGACATTGTCAACACAGTATACAAATACCTTAAAACTAAGGAGTTATAAAAGAATAAAATAAACTAACGCTATGAAAATAGAAATAATTATTGAATTATTAATTATTAAAAGGTATTTTTCATCAACTTAGGACTTTGTCCTCTAAGGCTTATAGATTTATTATTTATTTTTAAGGTGCTGCTGACTAATTTGCTTTATATAACGTTTGGTTTTAAATACAAATTGTAGGCTAGCTTAGGCTAAGTTTAAAAGATTAAGAGCTGATTAAGTTTATTTTAATTTAACTTATATTACGAAATGAGATGGAGACACACCCTAGGCTCATTTTTACCCAATATGAGTGAAGGATGAGTGTAGAATAAAGTGTGATGATCCATGTAATTCAACTATTTTTAGTTGAATTTTTACTCTCTGTCAGATTGTAAACAATAAGGCAGTAAAAAATTGATTTTAAATATTCTAATTAGATTATTATATAGGCCTACAGTAATTAGAAGTTAATTGTAGCTTGATTGAGGTAGGCCTAGACTAAGTTAAATCACTTTTTAATACAGCGTAAGTTATAAGTCAACTTAGGCCTAGTTAATTTTATACATAGGTCCACTTAACTTATACAAAATGCTCAAAAGCCCCTCTCGTTATAGGCTAGGCCTAATTAGACTTGGGCTATGAAAACAAACTATAAGTTTAGTTAGGCGCTTACCAGTAGGAGCACTGTCCAGGATACGAAGGTCGTAAGCCCCTGAACATCTGTAGTTAGCTGCTGTTCCATTGTCCCACACCACAACCACTTCCTCTGGGCTTTCAAAGTTACGAACCGTCCCCACATGCCCTTCCCCACCATCTTGTTTACCCCATTTCCAGTCAGGTCCGCGTATCACACGAGCCCCCACTCCTTCCATCATGAAGCGGGTGGTGCGATTGCCAGCATTAGCATCCATTTTGGAATTGTCACAACCTTAACATGCTTGTAGTGGTAAGCTTAGGATATGGTAGGCCTACCTGAAAACATATGTTTACTAGCTTAAGGTTAAGCAAAAAAAATATTTGTAAATATAACTTAGGTACCTACGTTAACTAAGGCCTACCAGGATATGGCTGAACAGACTTGTTTTTATTGATATAATTTTCAATGGCTAATAAAAAGCAACAACCCGAGGCTTTGGTAAATTAAGTTAGACCTAACTTATTTATTATTTAGGGGGCAACCTATTCTAAAATTTTCATTTAGTAAACTAAACACATTTCAAAACAGCTCTCCTTTGATTGTTTCAAACCAAACTTTTAACTAACCTCGACAGAGTCAGGGCCGATTTACCGAATAGGCACGTGCCTAGGGTAGGCATATCCTGTTTCTAATGATATATAAATTACTATGGTGCTATGAAGTTATTTACACTTATGAGGGCTGCACTTTACTTTACGTCTTACACTCATTCAAATGAAAATATAGATCAATATATCTATTATTCAATATTGATTAATCGATATATATCGTTTGGTTAGTTAGGTAAGGTTAACCTGGGTACAGTTTCTTAACTGGGCTATGCTAATATTAATTGAAACTATCAAATTGAAAATATATCAATTTTAAAATAAAACTATCATAACCTAACCTAACCAACCAAACTTGCTGATCCGCTTAAAAAATCGCATGAAGGTTTACTAATCGAAACGATAGTTTCAATCGATATTAGCATAGGCCAGTTAAGAAACTGGGGTAGGCCTACAGTTTCTTAACTCGGCTATGTTAATATCAATTGAAACTATCAATTGGAAATAACTTATTGATTAATAATCGATATTTTAAAATATTTCTATTATAAAATTAGACTAGGCCCTATCATAACCTAACCTAACCAACTAAACCTGCTGATAATGAAAAAATTGCATGAAGGTTTACTAATCGAATCGATAGGCCTAGTTTCAATCGATATTAGCATAGCCCAGTTAAGAAACTATACCCTTATACTGTACCCGTTAACCTAACCTAACCAACTAAACGATATATCGAATGAAACAATGAAACAATCGATATTTTCATTCGAATGAGTGTAAAACGTACGGTAAAGTAAAGTGCAGCCCTTATGAGAGGCCAAATTCTCTAGGCCTAGGCTATTTTATGACGATTCAGCAAAAAGGTTATAGGCCTAGGTAGCCTAAAATAGAGCCCAATAAGTTTAAGGCCTGTACAAAGATAAAAGTTTTATAATAGACATAGGGCATTGGGGAAATTCATTGTTACAACTAACTTAGGCTTAGGCCTAGGCCTAACACAACACAACAGGCAGGTAAGTTAATCTTCACATTAATTTAAGAAGTCAATTACTCATCTATCATCATTATTGCTTGGTATATTAGCTATGGTAAGGTTACGAAACCACAAAAATAACACAAAACGTCTATTTTCCTACCTTAGAACACTGTAACATCGGTTAAATAATTTATTTAAGCAACCTCAGTCCAAAATAAAATGGATAGCTAGCTTGGCAGTTTTACTATTAGCAGTAGCACACAGGCACACAGTCACAGTCAGTAAAGGACCAAAATATGACATATTTTCATTTTTTTTACCTAACTTTGCGATGATCTGTCGATCTGTCATTTGTAAGAAAAAAGCTTGGGTCATGTTTTTAGCTCAGCTGTTAAGTACTAGAATGGAGTGAGTAAGTTATTGTTCCGTTCCCTCCCCGCTTGTATTCTTTGTATGCCATGCCCTCAGTTCTCAGTCCGATTACTCGTTCGGAACCCTCCAGCGCTCCAGCAGCAGTTCCAAATTCAAGCACCATAAAAGACGACAGAACTATTTTATAGCAGTTCCTGTGCTATTATAATGTTACTAAATACAGTCATGGAAAAAGTTATTTGTGCAACTAGTGAGGCAATTAATACTTTAATACTTTTTAATGAAATGGCGACCATACAAAGTAGGTATTTTAAGCCAAGTATGAATGGAGATGAGTGTAGGTAGGATGAGTGGCGCGATCTTGTAGTCTTGTTAGTGACTAAGGCCGACATATTCCTTAGACACAGCTGTTAATTAATAGCCCATACAGCTAATGGCAACTAAGGGACCTACAGTTTATAGTGGAATCCGAACCACGTTTTTGCCTTTGGTATATACGAATTGGTCTAATTATCAGGATAGTACTGCGGATAGTCGAAGTACTCACCCGTGCGGCCGTTAATCCACACCAGGGAATATCGCATCCACAGTGCATGCACCTATAAATATCCACAATTCGTGAGCTGGATTACAGGACGATGCCACCCGTCCCAGTCAATTGCACTTTGCACTCGAGTTGCACATTATATTTTTCCTACAGTTACCCAACAATGTACATGTTCTCTTTCTGATTTGAGAAAGCAAAGTGGCCAATTCGCTCATCAGTGAGACAATGTTAACATTGTCTCACTCTAATTACTTTGTCTCACTCCAGATTTGCAACGTTAAGGCACGAAATAGTGAGCGCGTAACATGCAGGCAACGTCGTATGCGCGCGAAATACGTTGGCAGCACTGGCTGTAAATCAGCTGGTCAGCTGTTGTACTGTTGTATTTGTCACTTCACGTTAAATCTATATAAATAAAATTACAGTTTTGTCTGTACATTGCTTAGAATCATGCAGTTTTTGGTTATTTTTACGTTTCATAGCCTAAGAAAGCCGAAACGAGTCTTATCTCAATTTCTGTCTGTATATCTGTTTGTCTGTCCATTCTGTGACTTCGTCTGTAACGCCAAAATGTCATTTTACGCGGCCTACTCCTAGAAAACTAGAGTAGGTACCGATCAAGGTTCTAATCATTTTTCTGTATTTACTGGATTGGTGAGAATGTCTTTGGCTATAAAAACATGGCCTCGCTTCTTTGAAAACAAAATAACGAACCACCAAAAACACAATTTTGTTCGATTTTTGTCAAATTTTCTCCCAATGTTTACTATTACATTTTATGAAATAACGATCAGCTGTTTGGATTAGTTCTCACTTCTAGCTGTCACTGATATGTTTACATTAAAAGTTGTTTACAAATACCGCAACCATTTCCGATCATGTTTAGTCAGCACATCCAAACCAAGTGAGATTAAAAACGTTGCGCCTTACTTAACCGGTTTAATTAATCGCAAGTGCAACGATTGATTGTTCTTGAGTTTTGATAGCCGGGGAGAATACCGTGAATCAGTGTTGTATTAGTGCAAGGAAACTTACATTTTTTTAATCATCGCCACCCACTCATTGACGGCGCTTCAAGGACAGTTGTGTAAAGTGCAAAGTAAAAAATCACAACTGCAGTGGGTGATCGTGGATGTTGCTGCGATCTTGGAAGATCTTTCTGATTTCGCTGTGATCGTACCGTAACGGAGGTTGATCGGAGGTGAACGGAGGTCGATAAAACATAGTATGTTTTATCTATGGTTTAACTTAACAGATGTAGCTAAACTCGCTTTTCCAATATGTCACTTTTGGTTTTTACTTACTTACATTTCGACAACGATATCGGTACTTTTCCTACTTAGGAAATAAAACTACAAACGTACAAAACCCCGGATTTGTGTGTTTTTTTGTCACATTCCCTCCGAATGTTTGCTAGATATATGTACCGATTATCGTTTAGAGATTACGTATAATCTTTTAAATAAGAAACCTTTGTTTGGATAAATGTGGTTTCTTCAAACTGCCATTAATATGTTAACATTAAAAGCTGCTTACAAATAATGCTATTAATGGGAAATACCTCTGATTTTCGAAAACTTAAAAAAAAATTAAAACCAAAGGAGATTTATAACTTCGGTACTGCACCACATCAAGTTAAAGTTTTTTTAGCAAACCATAGTAAGTTTTCAAAGCTTTGTAGTTGTTAACGTTACATGTTACATGTTTTGTGGCCTGTGTATTTATTTATTTATATATTTGCCAACAGACTAAGTAACACCTATAATTCAGCTTGATTAGAAGGACAGTTTGAATAAGTCGTAAGTACTACAGTTCTTTTCTCAAATGTAAACGTTGGTTGTTGGTACTGCTACTTTTCCTTAGAACCGGTGGTAGCAGTAAGAATCATTTTTACATACAAACACCTCACTATTTTCACTATTTATTTATAAACACTGCACCTTATTGCTTATTAAATTTAATTGATGTCTTACTGTATAATTTTTAGCGTTTTCTGTCTGGACTCAAAAATGTGTGGACTCAATTCTGTATTTGTGTGTGTATGTCTGTTGGTAACGCATTAATGTCCTTATTTTTCGTGGAAAAGACAAGAGCACCATTGTTAATAAAAATTTCAACCCGAATAAAGTGTGCAGTAGTGAGGTTGAGGTAGTGTTTTAACTATACTTTTAACCAGTGTGAAAAGTAACTTTAAATTACAGGCCTACCTTAGGGCTATGCCTCATAGATCTAACTGTAAAGCAATTCCTTTCCTTTCATCGGTTGATATAAAATATGGACTAACACGATCGGGTGACATTTAATTGCGAAGCATTCGTTTTGGCTTTGAAACTGTCAGATATTGTATTTGAGAAGGTTTGTATGTATTCCTAAACAGTTATGGTTTTGCCATCATATCTGGAAAAATGCACACTAAATATGCAAACCAACTCCTGTTCTGAATATAAGGTTTTAACTTACTACTAGATTCCCGTACGTAGAACGGGCAAACAGCTAGTGTTATATTAAAAGTTCACTTCTGTGTAAAAATAGGTTATGTTTCTTCACCAATTTATTTGTTTTATGGTAACTGTAGGAAAAGTATAATGTGCAACTCGAGTTCAAAGTACAATTGCCTCACTCGAGAAACCATTCCTCAAGGATTTCTCAAGTCAATTGCAAGTCAATTGCTCACTTTTCTCACTAGTTGCACAATAGTTATTTGTGCAACTAGTGAGAAAAGTGAGCAATTGACTCACTCGAGAGAAATCCTTACTCACGAGCCGTAGGCGAGTGAGGAATGGTTTCTCGAGTGAGGCAATTGTACTTTGAACTCGAGTTGCAAATTATACTTTTCCTACAGTTACCATAAAACAAATAAATTGGCGAAGAAACATAACCTATTTTTACACAGAAGTGAACTTTTAACATAACATTTAATGTGAAGTGACTGAAGTGACAAATACAACAGTAGAACAGCTGACCAGCTGATTTTCAGCCAGTGCTGCCAACGTATTTCGCGCGCATACGACGTTGACTGCATGGTACGCGCTCACTATTTTGTGCCTTCACGTTGCAAATCTGGAGTGAGACAAAGTAATTAGAGTGAGACATGAGACAATGTTAACATTGTCTCACTGATGAGCGAATTGGCCACTTTGCTTTCTCAAATCAGTGAGAGAACATGTACATTATTAGGTAACTGTAGGAAAATAACTATTTCCTACAGTTACCATAAAACAAATAAATTGGTAAAGAAACGTAACATATTTTAACACAGAAGTGAACTTTTAATATGACATTTAATGATACAACAGCTGACCAGCTGATTTACAGCCAGTGCTGCCAACGTATTTCGTGCCTTCACGTTGCAAATCTGGAGTGAGACAAAGTAATTAGAGTGAGACACATCAACATTGTCTCACTGATGAGCGAATTGGCCACTTTGCTTTCTCAAATCAGTGATAGAACATGTACATTGATAGGTAACTGTAGGAAAACCCTCAGTAGTTATTACTTCACTTAATATCTAAATAACGTTGCCTGTTCCTGTTGATGTACAATCGCATTATATTGGAGATAATTGAGGGGAAATGTTTTACAACCATAAATAAATTAACTCCTTGTTAATAGTTTATTTTAAAAAAAATCATTTTCGGTGGTTGATTGGCGTGCAGTTAGTTATGGGGGGGGGGGGGTGAATAGGACTGAATATGAACACCAGAGTAGGGTTGGGTTAGCAGTATAATTGACTTTTTTATTTTTAATTTTCTAATTTTTGAATATTTTCTTAAATCAATTAGTTTTATTTTTAATCTTTAGGATAAAAGAGTGGTTAGGTTTGCTGCTACAGGTAGAGTGTAATAAGATGTACTTTTTTGTAAAATTAAATACCTTTGGACAAATAAGTAAGTTTGCAAAATTGTATCAGAATACATCCAAAAACATGCAAACTACTGTACAACAGTTTACTACTTATTCCCCATAAGAATAACATGGGAATTTTTAGGTTGATTTGAAATAGTGCCACACTGTTTCCACAGAATATTAAACATTCATTAAAACATACATATTAGAGTTCAATTTTAACAGATTTCCTCTAACACTTTCTTCCGGGAACAACTAATTAAACTCATGACTGGAATACAAAATTATAACTCTTTAAAGCATTCAATTATTTTCAAACTTTATTGTTATAAAGAGTGTTTGCAATTTAGGCCTACTCTGCTAAGCTGTTAACACTACTTAGGTACAATATCTAACAAATATGTTTTACTTCTGACTAGATTTTATTTTAGATTTTAACTGTCCATACATTATTTTTGCTTTACTCTGGCCTTGATAACTCAAAATGTATATTTTTATTACAAACTTTGAAGTGTTTGTCCAGAATTTACTTTGTACAAAAAGAGTCACAAACTGAAGGTCAAACTTGTAAAAATAAAATGGAGTTTTATTTTGCCAATTAAAACCAGAGTTGTAAAAGGGATTCCCTGCCATAATACTACATCCAAACACCAACACCAAGGATAAAGGTGTAAAATATATAAGGGTTATTAGGTTTTATTGAACTAAAGTGTTTAGGGTCAATATAGAAAAGATATCTGTTTGGGTTGTATTGATTAATCGGAATAAAAAAATACTAACTTAGGAAACTTATGTTTTTAGCGAATTCCCCCTATAAGGATATTACATGTTACCGCGGGTATGTGGTATGGTGACTGGTGGTGAGACCTAGACCTGGGAGTGATTTACTTTTTTTTTATTTGAACATCCCCTGAGGGAAAAAACACTATTTTTTTCAAATTACTAAGTAGGTAGGCCTATATGTAAGTATTGTCATTTATCTATAAGGGTTATAATACAGGGAGAATTTTTTAAAAACACAAACCAAATTACAAGTACAGTAGACTCCCTTTTATCCGGACTCCTCGGGACCGAGGCCAGTCGGGATAACTTGTTTTCCGGATAAACCGACGTCCCCAAAAACTTGTTAAAACGAACCGTTTACTGTGATTTTCGACTTAAATTTAAGAGAGCATGGTATTTAGACACGTGATCGCTGGTCTCAAATATTTCCTACGAGAACATTCGTTTCAGTACCGCCCACTTCCTACCGATCTAGTCCGGTTAAACCAATTCGCTGATAAAATTGTCTGGTTAAAGAGATGTCATTACGGCCGAGTGTAGTCCGGTTAAACCGATGTTCGGTTAAAAGGTGTCCGGATAAGAGGGAGTCTACTGTACCACAATAGCCTTATTTTACACATAAACATGCTCATATGTTGGTATCCCTGTTTTCTTTTTTTATTGCCAATCACATGATATATGCATCGTTGTATTTATCCATTACACACAGCTATTGGGAATTTATTGTGAACTAGTGGTTGTCCAGTGGTCTAAAACTCGACCAAAAATATGTAATGTACACGCATTGACTATTGGATACTGAAGTAGACATCCTATCTATATGGACCAGCTATCGTAATTTTTTTTTATTATAAAACATTGTAATTGTGTGAGCCATACAGAATGTGTGTCTAAAATTCTAATTTCTACCTTATTTTTTGTTGCTGACAAAGTGGATGGGTCATAACAGTTGCTATAGCTCATAATAAGTCATTCCAAAAGTTGACTTGGTAAAAAACATTGTTTATTAGACAGAAATTAGCAATTTAGATCAGCGCAATCTGGTTGGTGGCTCACATCAACAAAGACAAATTTAATTTAAAAACTGGTGACAACTTTAACATGGGGATGGAATGACTATAGTAGTAGTAAGTCAAAGGTACAGGCTTCTCCATTTTCACCCCAACCTGTAAAACATGTGATTGGAATTTCTTCCATTTGTTTTGATTTTATGTTTATATTTTGTTGTTATTTCACCATGGCAACCCATAATTGACCGATGTTAATATTTTAAAATTTAAAATTCATTTTGTGTGCTTATTTTTGAGCCTAGTTTAATTTATAAAGGGATTCTGCACACCTACAGAAAAATATCTTTCTAACAGTATGCATAGATTTTCCCTACAATGCACACAACAAGCTGAGAAAAAAGGTTGAGAAACATGCTTGCATATTTAAATATATAGAAGACAGAATACCATTGACTATACACCTCTACTTACTAAGCAAATGATAAGACTTAACATAAAATGGATTTTTCAAAATCTCAGAGAGTTATTATTTATTATTATTTATTTATATACTATCACATTTTCACACATATATTATTTATTGTTATTATTTAAGTTTTTACTATTATAACTTTATAAATTTAATTTTACTAGAATTAATGTACGTAAACAATTTATTGTAATGCTTCAAGACTATATATATTTGTATTTTATTTTTTTGAAAAATTGTAAATTGTTTATATATTGTGGAAATAAAACTGATTTGATTTGATTTTATTTTATTTTATTTTAGAGTTTGTTTTACATTAAAATAAGTAAATCATTTGTTTTATGCCAAGAAAGGTTTGAAATTGAGTTTCAAAGTGTGATGCCAATACCAAACAAATCAACTATTCTTAGAATAGTTAAACATGGAAACCAGATCTGTAGGGAAGCAATAAACGTATAGACCTACAATACATACTCTATTTGAACGGAAACTCATGTTGAGTATTATTTATAATTAATTCTCAATAACATTTAAGCCTAATAGATATCTGTGCAACAATCATATTAGGCGATCGCAATGAAGTAAAGAAAACAATATACCAACGAGTTATTGTATACCAACAAAATTAAGTTTGCAAACCAACAAGATCAGATGCTAAGAATAGTGTTATGTATGGCCATGGGGCTTCAAATTTTCAATTTTTTTGTTAATTTTTATTTTTTAAACATGAAAATGCCCAATTATTATTACAACCATAGGTAATAAAGGGCTTATTAAATAATTGGACGTTAAGTGTTGTATAAATGTTACAGAGATTAATAAAAAAAATGTTCACTTAATAATTCTCTGTTATTTTTATGGAAAAAAGTAACATTTTGTAGTTTATTTGTTTGAAATGTGTTTTTTATAAATTTTTTTTTTCATATTATACTATTGGCATTATACAAAAAAAACCCTTTTCCTTCCCTGTAGTAGCAAATCTAATTAATTGTTAAAACCTAATATGTGATTTAAATGGGGAATATATCTGACATTATTGAGGAAATATTTTTAGTTAAAAGGCAAATGAAAATTCACTGAGTTAGTCTGCAGGATTGCCACAGCAGTGTTTATTTTTTAATTTTCCTATGCAAAATTTTATATTTAGACCAAATTTTTCTAATCATTAATACAAAATCTCTATGATAAAATATTACCGTATGCATAAATACAACTTTTTATAGTTTGAACCTTTCCCCGTGGAAAATACCAAAAGTGTTTTAAATAAAAAATAAAAAAAAACCATAACACTAATGAAATCCACACTAATACACATAGAAAAAATGTATTAGTGAAGAAATAATGCAGTATGTAGGCCTACTTTGAACACACCAAATCAGAAACAGGCTGTTCAGTTATATCATAATGGATTCTCTGTTATCCACGTAATCATGTGAATTCTCTGTTAATCACGATCCTTTTTCTGTTTGACTTTTCCAAAACCACAAACCTTGGAACTGACCTCAGGCAAATTAACGGCTGCAAAATAAAACAAAAAGACTCTCTTGAGATGTTATTGCTCTTGAGCAAATACAGATTTTGGAGACCGGTTTGTGTAAACACAGATTTTTGGAGTTGAGGTGCTAATGGTGGTAAGGTTGCTTCTTAATCTGTGGCTATTACAAGAGTAAGACAGACAGACAGAGAGAGACAGGCAAATACCTAGAGACTATGGACCCTGCAGCATCTCTGGGTGTCTTCCTCTTCTTATTTTCGTTTGTTGGAGGTAAGATACAATATTTTTATTTATTTCTCACATATTGAAATAATTAGGACTTTATCTATGACTGTAATGTATTAAAAAATTAAAAAAAAAATTATAAAATGTTTTATAGCATACTTTAATTATTGTGATTATCTAGTGTGACTAATTTTCTTGTGTATAAAAAATAAGATTTGTCATAAACTTGGGTTTAAAAAGAGTTTTTGTTTCATAATTAAAATATTCTCTGTAGCTCCTTTTCATCTTATTTTCTTTTGTTAGTTGTAAGACAAAATTTAAATATTTATATTCGTTATATTATTAGTATTGTTTAATTCAATTTGTATTGTTAATTTGTATAAGATAAATTATTATCTCATAAACTATCAAACATCACATATTTCTATAATCTAATTTACTAAATTATATAGTTATCATACTTTTATGACAGTTTAATTAATAAACATATTATTAAATGTATTTTTGTATGAAAAATTAGAAGTGAATCAAGTATTGATTTTTAAGCTTTTTTAACTGAGCGTTATGATTTTAAAATTTCTGAAGGTATTTTTCTTCTTTTTTTCTTTGTTGTGGGTAAGACACACTGTTATTTTCCTTTTCATTTCTTATCATTACAGGATGAAAATAATTTGTATTACAAACAATTTTAAACAGGACAAAATTAGACCTTTTCAGTGTTTCGCTATAAAAATCTAAATATGTACCAAAATAAAAATACTCCCCCTACTACAGCAAATTTGCTGACTAAGCAAACTATCATTTGCCTAACCAATTTCTACTGAAATATCCCCTTAAACATGTTAGGTGTATTTTCAATTTAAAAACATTAGGTTTAAGTATTTAGGTTTGCTGCTACGCGGAATGTCATAAAGTGTGTTTTTTGTTCAATTATTATTAATAGCTTGGTATAAAAGAAATAAATTTACCACATTTGATCAAAATATATAAACAACTTAACAAGTAAACTACATCAGTTTACCCTTGTTCATAAGATTGAGAAAAAAATGTAAATTAAATTTTTTTTTTTTATTTGTTCTCTAACCATATTATACACACAATATTTAAATGTACTAAATTAATTGCTTTTCTTTAGCTCTACAAAATGTTTTGGAAATAAACTGCAAAATATTAAATTTGGAGGGTCAAAATTGAGAAAAAACCATAATACTGACCTCAAAGTCTGATCAAGCTGATTCACGAACTCCGTTCAAATAATCATAGGTTTACACTTTTGTAATGAATTTAATCAAAATCAGATCATTTTTACTCGAGTTATTGTTGTAACGTAGGCTACACATGTATATCTAGGATGGTGACTTTGACTTCTGTGGTCATCAAAACAAAAAAGTAAAGTATTCCAAAGTTGAGGTCTTAAAATGAGACCTACCGTAATAGCTTATTTTCTATGGCTAATGAACTAAAATGAGTTCATCTTTAGATTCTACATTAGATCTTTTAACAATTAATTATTAGAAAAATATTTTCACAGTTGTTTTGTTTCACCTTTTTAAGATGTTTAGTAAAATAAAACCAATTCTTTCACTGAAATACACTACATTATACACCTGTTACAGCAAACCTGCAGACTAAGCGGGTTTCTAGTTGTTTTTATGCAAACAAGTTTAAGATAGAGACACCATAGAAGTAACTTTTTGACATTCTTATTTGTTTAGTAAAAACAAAAGAAAATAATCGGTATCAGCAATCTGACACAAACTTTCTCCCATTAGCTTGTCAACAACCTTTATGGGTAAGCGTTTTTTGGGGGGCACAATTCCTGCACAACAAATGTTCCTGGACCTTAATTTTCCTACTAAAACTAGGCAAAGTATTAACTTTCCTTTAGTATCGGTTTCAAACAACTATAATTATAATTAGTTTCATTGTGTGGTGCTCAACTCAGTTTTTTTTTAAATTTTATAATTTTTAAATTGTAATAGTATAATAGCTTGTGTCACTAAAAAAACCCATTGTGAAGATTATTTAATTAATTAAGTTTAAAATTGTTAATCTTGTTTAGCTTATATCTTGAAATTGGTATGATTGGTTGAAAGTGATTTTAATGTATTTAAAATACAAGGCGGACCAACAAAGTCATACCCTTAATTCAATAATTACAAATATAAAACCAGTTTGCCTTCACCATCAAATATTGAAAACCTAATCCCTCCAAACCCCCTTTTCAAACTAATCCCTCATGTTTGAGAAGTCCAAACATTAAACAAATTAATAATTACTTTCTGAATAAAGACCATTTATCTTATGTCTAAATTCAAATCATCTTTGAACAAATTAAAAACCATTCATTTGGAAAGTGTATATAGTATATGCATGTTGGTTTGATACCTGGAAGACGTGGAAATAGAGAATGTTCAGCTATGTTCTCTCATATTTTTTACATTAGTAGATTTACTAATATAATATTATGTGGTTAAATAATTTGCGAAAAAAATTTATGTAATGTAATGAAAAGGAATAAATAAATATATCGTGGTCTACGCATCGATCCTGGAGGCAAACAAAATGGTTTTAAGGCATCAAATGGTATCTTCAATCAAAAGATAATCACCATGTGGTTGCAGTCTTCAGAAGTCCCTGGTGGTGTGTTTAATAGTAATTGTATGTTAGCTTACTTCCTGAAACTACTGTCCTGCAATTAAATTCCCTATAGTACTGTAGTTTGTCAACTACTAGAACAGAAACTTCCTAGTTCTTAACTACAATAACTATACACAGCCTGTAATACCCAAACAAACCGAACACGATCAAGTAACTTTCCTAGAAATGTGATTGGTCTTGTGATTTTTACCAACAATTATTTTTGAACTACACAGAGTAAAAATCTGTAATCAAACCAATGACTGGTGTTCATTCAAAACTATTAATTTTGGTATGATGTGCAAAGCACAATGTTAAACACAATTTAATTGAATTACAACAACTAAGCCCTCAATGAATGCACAGCAAAATTTCTGAGAATGTGATGAACAAATGTACCTGTAATGGCATTGATGATTGTTCTGCAAGTATAATTAATTTCGCTTAGTGCAGGTGTTGTAATCATAGTACAACTTGAGTACCTAATACAAATAGTGAACTATTAAATGACAAACAAATTATTTTCAATGACTTGTACATTATCACTACTATTATATATCACTTAGGTCTAAAGCTGTTTTTTCTTAAAAGGCTGGTAACAACCTCAAAAGATTAAACAAATTATTGTAACAATCAAAATAATTTAGTGTTCTGTAGGCCTATGGATAACTAACTCGTAATTTGTACAGTTTAAACAGTTTTCAATTACACATAGTTGTTTGGCGTAGTTATATACAGTTGAACCTCGTTTGTACGAACCTCGATAAAACAAATTCCTCGATAAGACGAATTTTTTTTAATCCCCTTGACACTTTCATATAGGCCAATGCTAAAAACACCTCTATACAACGTAGTAATTAAGTTAAAAACCTCCATAAGACGAATTTGTTTGTGACATGGGCTAGGACTGATTAACCTCTATACAACGAATATTCTTAGCACAAAACCTCTACAAGACGAACGTGACCTCTATAAGACGAATTTATCAAAATCTTAACCTCCATAGTACGTAGTTTTCAAAACAAACAGAGGCTTGTCTCAACATGAAACCCCCACCCATCCCCCTCCTTCATCAGTCATTGTTTGGAGAAACCTTGGAGCGAGGAGAAACCTCTATAAGAAGAATAACAGCAGTATTAAACCTCGATAAAACGACCCTCTTTATTAAGAATACCTCTATAGTACGAATTTTCCCCGTACCCCTTGAAATTCGTCTTATAGAGGTTCAACTGTAATAGGCTGGGGGAACACAGGATGTGAGGTTGCATTGAGGGAGATACTAGCATTGCATTGATGAAAAATAATAATACAAATAAGGATGCGATTGTAAGATTTACGAAATATATTAAAATAAATCAATAGTAGATCCATACCGTAAAGATTGAATTAACCTACCTTAATTAGGATAAATATTTCAAAAAAATTTGCATACCGGTATTGAAAAATTGAACACTCATTTTCATAAACTGGTTTGTCCCTTTTATTCACTTCATTTCATTTATTCATATCAACGGATACACCATTTACAAAATATATGTGTTTTAAGCACATGAGCAGAATGAAAAGATAACAACAAAAATAAAAGATAAGTTACATATGGACCATGAAACAAAGCAGCATTGCAACAAAAAATAATAACAAGACAACAACGTAACAACAATTACAGATAATTGTTTTACATTCTGACTAAGATTAAAAATTAAACTAAAGACAATCGTAGGTATAATTAAATACAACTAGTTTACGTGTTGCTTGAATTCGAGCAAATGAGAAGTATTTAGTACAGGTGTTATTATAAAACAAATAACGGTCATAACTTCCAATGACTTTAAAAGAGTCGACTCAAAGATTGGAAGTACTCACGATGTACATAACAGTTTGATATAATCAACATTTCTTGTTAATATCTTATCATTTTTCATTTTCAAAAGCTGATCTTGTTTCTTAGTGTTTTCTACAAAGTTTCCCACTCATAGCCGCATTAGGTTATCCATAACGATTATAAATTCTAAAAAAAAAAACATTATTTCTATTTCTTCTACTTAAGTGGTGTTCTATTACCTTCCTATGTTTCCATAGTTTACAAATCGGCTCTTTCAATGATTGCTCAAGAAGTGCAGCACAGTGTTAATTCAGTTTTCTTTTTAGTATATCAAATTGTCCAGGCTTTCTCGTTTTTTTCCATTGTAATATTTACGCCAACCCAAATTCAAATAATAAATATTTCATTTCAACCGTAAGTGTTTGTAGCAAACTTATTGACTGTTTACAATTATCATATGTCCTTCGTCTCACTTTTAATTTCTGACAACAGCTGTAGTTTCATAACAATTTTTGTTTCCCATGCTATTCTTATGGATAAATACGAAAATTTAAAGGGCCCCAGGGCCTCACTCTCTTATTATTTACCTAAAAAGAAAGTTTCCTGCACAACTTCACATCATGTTCTCTCCAATGACACCAAAAACATGTCAATCGGTTTAGTAGTTTCGGAGGAGTAATTGTCACATATTGTGTTTAATTGTAGCACACGTTTCCTCAAATTGCAACTAAAATATTAACAGCAATTAAATTATCCATCTGATCATAATGTAAAAAAATATGTTCTTCATAAGGATAACATGGGAACTTTAAAAGTCACTAGGGCAGAGCCCAAGGGACTTTTTCAAAAATGTAAGGTCAGTTTACAAATCTACACACCTATTGTCGGGACCACGTAAGTTTGCAGTTGGTGGCAGCCAATCACAAGACAAGGCTAGTGCGACGTTGCCACATCACCCGTTGACAACACTAATTAAAATATACTAAGCAATATATTAAAATCAACTGGTATTAACAGATTTGGCAACACCGCACGGTTCTCATTGGTTCATTCAAAACCATATGGTAAATAGGCTCCTCCCTCAACTGCAAACTTACGTGGTCCCGACAATAGACAAACATTTTGGTATATAATATGTGGGGTTAAATCTTCAAACAAAAATAGCCTCATCTGTTTACAAAGTTTCATGTACGGGTAGCGTATTAATAATATAGATTCATGTTTTAATCCGTTCGTTATTAAGGAAATTGCTGGTCAGCATCACTGGAATTTCAACAGCAACATCTAGAAATAAACCAATGGCTGGGGGGGGGGGGTTACTCACCCAAATCTATGAAAAATAAAAAAAATATCTAACATATGCTTCCTCTGCAGGCCAGTATGACACTCTTGAGCGTAGAGCGGACAAGATTGTTCCTCTGAGACTTCAGCAGCTACGAGACCACTTGGTGGACCGAGGAATGTACCAAGAGGGAATGTTCCATCTGCTGTCTTACGTAGTACCAACCGACTCAGACAACCCTAGGTGTAGCAACCACAGCGCGCTCTACCAGGTGGCAGTACTGAGTGATCAGCCGTGGGCACAGCGGAGTGAGTTTGTATCATTGACTCTGTATAGGGACATATATTCCATTCCACGTTCACCAGTACAGGTTTTTGGGAGATAGCCGTACATTCAACATTACTGGAAACTTCATGTTTATTGTTGTTTGGGTTGCGTCAAATGTTCTTGCAGCCCTCATAAAAGCTTTTAAGTTCACTTTATTTTATTTTTGTGACGTTATGCCTTTTATGCTAGGGTTATTCATAAATAAGAAATGTTAAAAAAAAGTTTGTAGAAAAAAAATTAATACACCAACTCAAAAATTTCTGGACACAGAGGTTAAAGGGCTACGTCTTGCATGTTTTGGAAGTTAACGTTATTCAATTAATTTAGTGAACAACAGCTGGCCAATGCAATTGACAATATAGTTTGTTTACATTTATGTTTACTTATTTTATTATTTACTTTTATGTTCTTAAAAGAGGTGCGGTGAATGGAAAGTGAAGCTATTTGTAGCTGTTTGAGTGATTAAAGGTGTTTAAAACACGATGAATATGTTGTTCGTTCCAAGAGGTTGTCACCAATCTTTAACAGGTTGCCATCATTGAAAAGTATTAAAGTATTAAATACGTCATGGAAGAGAGCGTGTAGATATAAAGTCAATGGCGGTGAGTTCAGGTACAACCGTACCCACCTCAGCCACCTCAGGACGTAAGTTATGAAGGTTCCACTGCTTTTAACATCCTTTAAGATGACAATTTCTCGAGCTTGGGACCTTTAAATGAAATATAAAGTAAAAGTTGATTAAATTAATTTAATGGTGGCTTCTGTACACCCGTGAATTCGCGGGTAGAACCTCTTGTTGACATTTATAATGGAGGTATTAAATAAATTAATAGGTAGTGAAAAATTATAAGAAAAGTGAAATATTCAACAATTACAACTTAAAAAGTTAAGCACAATAGTAAGACAAAACCAGCTCGTGTTACAAGGACTGTCGATCCTGTCTGTCTACTTTTGTCTATGCTACTAATGACAGAATAGGTGTGTATATACGCAGTTAGAGATTGTATAGACCATCAATATTTTATAATTTATCCCGCTATTGGTAAACCTTGATGGATTTGTTTAGTGTAGACTTTGGGCAAGATTTGACAAAAGTAGTTGTACTTTTTAAAAGATGTTAGCGAATTTCCCTATAGGGAAGTAGCTATTACCGTAAGTGGTACGGCAAGACCTAGGTCCGGGACCGATTTACTTTTTTCATTTTGATGTCCCCACCCCAGAGGCCAAAAACACCATTTGTTCAAATTTTTATATATGTATATATGTTCTTTGTTTGAAGTTCATTGTTGGTGATGGTGAGTTAATGTTGTTCAAAGGTTTTTTGCGGACATTTTCCATCACGATTGTAAAAAACAATACACAACTCACCATACTTCCACAAAAAACATAACAACAAAAAACAAAAAACACATAAAATTTGCCAATTTCTCTTTAGGCCTTTTTAAATAGTTAAAAAAATCAAATCATTTAGTATATCAAAGTGTTTTTGTACGGTTATTGATGACGAAGAAAATTTAAAAATTGTAAATTTAACCCTTTGAGTGCCAACGTCCGGGGAACCGGACGTTTTTAAAACGAGCCAAAAGTGCCGACGTCCGGCCGACCGGACGTTTTTAGAACGAGCCAAAAGTGCCAACGTCCGGCTGACCGGACGTTTCGTAATGATCGAACAGCTGTTATAACAACCGAACGGATACTCGGATTCTTTTAACCCATATATTAACATTGAGTCGAAAGTTACTAGATGCGATACATCGATTTTCGTTGGTCGAAATATCGAAAATTCGATTTTTACGAAATTTTAACCTAAAAACCGCCAGATTGCGCTCGGCATTTTTAGCGCGACCTTCGGGAAAAATCATCGGCATTTTTTGAGCGTTACTTTTATTTCTCGCCTGGCACTCTAAGGGTTAAAATTCCCATGTTATTCTTATGGAGAATATTGTAAAATGTTGTAATTTGCTTGTTTATGGATATATTTTGATCAAACTTAGCAAATTTATTTTTTTTATATTAAGCTATTAATATTTTACCAAAACCCACACTTTATTAGTTTTCTAGTAGCAGCAAACCTACACACACACAGTACTAGTTGGGTACTGTTGGGGTGTTGTTGTACTGTTGGGTAGTACAGATTCCAGATCCCGAAACGTTGTGTATTGTTTTTTACAATCGTGATGGAAAATGTCCGCAATAAACCTTTGTATATATGTGTTTGTGAATTGCGATAACTTGAGAAATTTTTGGTTAGATTTTGATGAAATTTGGTTTAAAGATGTAAGGCAAGATAAACTTGAATGAGTTTATATTTTGATCAAACTTAGCAAATTTATTTTTTTTATATTAAGCTATTAATATTTTACCAAAACCCATACTTTATTAGTTTTCTAGTAGCAGCAAACCTAGTTGCTTGTTAAACCTAATGTTATTTAAATAGATTTAATTGAAAATCAATTCAGAGAAATTAAAATTCACTTAGTCGGCAGGTTTGCTGTGGTGGGGGCATTTTTTTATTGGAGCGGTGAAATACCAAGTTTAATGTTCTGTAACTGTTCTGCTACCTTAAACTCCTACCTATTAACTACCTTAAACTCTTCTCTGTGGATCGAGTAAGTGGACCGATTCCTTCTTCTACAATAATTTCTTTTTATTTTGAGTTCAATTACATTTCTTAACCTCAAATACCTATTATTATCACTGGTTTCCTCACTCTTGCTGTCTTTCTGAGGTCATCTACCTGTTGGATTTCTTCTTTGTATTTCTTTGCTAGATTTTCCTTTACGAATTCCAATTACCTGGTTGGTAGTCATTTGTAATCATCTACGTCAGCAATTACATTAAAGTTTTAAACAGTTATCTCATCATTCCCTAGTTATTGTAACCTTGTAGCCTTCCCCACTTTCATCATTTCCAGTATTGCATTGTCTGATGTTCCTATTAAAAAAACTATTAGCTGATTGTTATCATAGAGGATAAAAATGTCGAATAGAACATTTGTTTGTAGCATTTTCTCATTTTAATGCACTGAGCTATGACAAATATTTTAGAGATAGCACTTCTTGAGGGGATTTTCCGATTTTGTGCCGCTGGCAGCTAGTTGTGTCCTGAGATGGAATGTGCCGAGGTAGAGTATAGTTAAACTCAACCATAAAAAACATGTTTTTCATCATATTGGTAAATGCATGTGTTCGCTTTATGAACAAACCATTGGTTTTTCTTGGTGTTAAACAAAAAAGGACTTCATCTAATTTAATTAGTTTATAGCTGTTGGTAAAACTGAATGAGGTATAACACTCTCTGGACCAGGACACTATAGCAACTTTTCAAACTAATGCAATGGTACCTTAAAGAAGCCAAACTCTAAACTATTGTTACTTCCAGATTTTATAATATCTAGTTCCAATGATGTTATGTTTGATAACATGGTGGCAGTATAAATTGTGAGGGGAGGAATTCTTTTTCTACTTTTTGTCTCCAATCATGGTGGTGCTTTAAACATAATTTTAATTCGTCACCAGTTGGTTTGATTTGACTGTGATTCCAAATTCAAGTATTTATTCAAAAATAAAGGAAAATTAATTACTAGGTTTAAATAGAAAAAAAACCTAGGGTGTGGACCGTTCCCTTACAAAACACACACACACACACGCAAAATAATAAATCAGTAAATTAACTTGAAATGGTACATTGTTTGTTCATAGTGGTTGATGCATCCAGCAAAATCGGTGACGGATTCCTCCAAGGCAACATCCAAGGGCTGGGTAGTTACGATGAGTGTCTGGGTGTCAGCGAACCCAACCAGCTGTTTACTGGTCAGCTGTGCATTGTGCAGACTAAGGGGATGCTGCCCTCTGTGGTGCACAACCCTCCAACTGCCGAGGTGAGTAAAAGTTTGGCTGGTCTCAAAAAGATGATATTCACCCGTGGATAGACTTTCCCACATAATAATAACAAAATAAATAAATATGTACCTAACCTACCTCAATTAGTCAGTTGCGTTTGGCTTGAGTTTGGTTTGAGTTAAGTGAATCCCAGTATCATTATTTATGATTTGTCAGCTTCACAGATAATTTTTCATACATTCTTTAACATTTATTTAGTTTGTAAAAATGTTAACATTATGTATTGCAACAAAAAGTTTTAAAATGCAGTTTTTTATAACGAGAATAATAATCTTACATGTATAGCTTTTCTGCAGTTAGTACCTTCTGTTAAGTATATTTTGTGTTTTCCATGATGGGAGGAAAACAGAATCAGAAACACCCGTTCATTCAATGGAAATACACTAAAAATTTGAGATTGTCCAGATAAGGGGATTTGGTATAATATTTCATTGTTTCAACACATTAATAAACATATTTTTAATATAATAATTGACAAAATCTTCATCGTTGCCATTCCAGCCAAGACTTTGATCTTCATCCAGCTGGATTGGAGGAAGACAACTGTATTTAGACTGATAAACCAAATTCTTTTTTAACCACTTCGCTAGTCCGTTCAAAAATTTAAGCGGTTTGAGTGGCCCACCCTATTTTTTTTTGCTTAATTCAGCTGATTGACGTTTTGGCAAACCTCAGCTATTGAGCAATTGGTTCAAATGTAGGATCAAAAGGAGGGGATGAATTTCTTATCCTAACCGCCTAAATTTTGTGAACGGAATATAGAATGCTTTGAATGCCTACAGTACTCGCTACTCAGAGCGCTGCCTATAGACTTGAATTTTGCGGTTTGTCTGCCCTCCACCTGTACATATGCTGATGTTGCTGAACATTGGCGGGTAGTTGCTGTTGAAGTCAACGCCACCGCCACTGTCGAACCATTCGACTGCTCTGTCAAAGGCGACTTGAAGCCAGGAGCTCGCTTCTGGCAGGCCCTGTAAGTTTTCACTTTTGTGTTGTTTTTTTTTAAGGCTAACCTTTTTGGGTATATATATATACCCATATAGCCTCCTCTAATACAAGGCCGCGACAAACAAGGCGATTGGTGTTTGGCAATGTTGCACCGGTATGCCTATTGCCATGGTAATATGTGTAATAACAAAAGTGTAAACATAAACATTTGCTACAAGCTCCATTATAAATTAGTGCAACAGAGCTGTTTCGGTTTGCTGTGTAAGCGGTTTTTCCACTTTTGTCTCGCCGCGGGCCGCGACCTTGTGTTAGGAGAGGATATAGCTTACCTCATCATTATTCTTTTTATGCTAAACAGCTGTTTTTTTGTGGATTGAAATATTCTTAGAAATGTAGTTCAAAGATCCACCTAGCAAATTATGTTTGAAAAATTGACTAACAATATTAAAACATTATTTTTGTCAATTTCATAAATATATTTTTTAGTTTTAAAAACACAAACTATACAAACATTTACAACAATCCAAAGACTAATTTATTATTTTGTTAAATAGCTTTTAAGTGTTTAAAATATAAATTTTTCCAATGGAAGTCAGTAAAAATCAAAGAGTGTTGTAAACATCTGTTTGCAGCACTTGTTTTAAGCCGAGCTTACAACAAATTAATATTTTAATTGTTTGTTGAAAACCAGTGTTGTCATCAGTGGTAGTAGAACAGAAAAGCGTGGGTACGGTGTTCCCATTCTGCTTCTTTCAAGAACTCCATACACATTACCTAATCCTTTCATATAAATTAAGCCAGTTTTAGACGGTGTTGAGCGTTACCACATTGGAAATTTAATACTACACAGGTCTACACTATTGGTTGTCAATTTTGTGTTTGGTATTTGTTTTAAAATTTAAAACTTTCTGTGTTTGATTTATTTTGCCTAATTCCAGGTGTGTGTTGGCAACACTGTTTGCATTAGTTTTCTTGAGCAGTTGGTATGACTGGGCGGTGAACTATCAGCCTGGTGAGTATTTTAGGAAACTCTGGGAAAATGCACAACAATATGTGCATGCAGGTTTAATAAGTGTAAAACATCTAAAATTTAAATTAGAGATTAATTAGTTTATTTAAAATTATTTTTGTGTTTTTTTATTATTTTTGGAATGGTTATGACTAAAAAACGTATTATTTAGTACATTGGTGCTATGCTGCTAAACAGATTAACTAAAAGATGTTTACGAACATTGATTGATATATTATTACACCTATCCCTTTTGAATTTACTAGAGTGATTGTTATTTTCACATTTGACCTGATGAATGGTGCAACTGGTTTAAAGCTATTTGTAACATGTCTAAAATAATGTTTAATATTTACGTTTTATTTGTTTAATATACATGTCTAAATATTTACCATCTTGTAAATCATTAAAGTACCATCTTTGACTATTAATACAACTAAACATTCCATCCCCATATTAAAGTTGTTGCCAGGTTCTTAATCAAATTTGTCTTGGTTGATGAGCCACCTACATATTGCGCTGATTTAAATTACTGATTTCTTCCGAATACACAATGGTTTTTACCAAGTCAAACTGATGGAATGACTTATTATGAGCTATAGCAACTGTTATGACCCAGCAACTATGTCAGTAACAAAAAATAAGGTACAAAATAGAGTTTTAGACACTAGCACAATCTGTGACTGGCTCACACAACTACATTCGTTTTTAGTAAACAGAGTTGGCGACAGCTGATCTATATAGATGGGATGTCTTCTTCTGTATCAAATAGTCAATGGTACCATATAAGTGTAATTGATATCCTTTTGTGTTGTTGCCTATGTTCTTGAGTAAGATGTTTGTGTGTCACCTTATTTTTGCATTACACCAGCTTGTGTGGCATCTTCAGAGGGTCTTCTTAAGCTATGTCCTTGTCACTAATACTTGTTTACTAATAATCAGCTGATCATAACCATGTTAGCCAAGAGCCGCAGAATGCTGGTCAGCTTCTCAATGTTCAACACCTGGCAGAAGCTATCCGGTCGTGACAGACAGGACAGTCTGGATATCCTGGATGGGTTGAGGGTCCTGGCAATATCCTGGATCATCCTGGGCCACAGGTTCGAGATGTCACTGCAGGTCCCTAACCTTAGTCTGCTGGATATGGAAAGGGTGGGTACACTTGTTAATAGTCTTTAGAATCTTGTTGAACTGCTACCAGAATGAAATGTTATCTCATTAGGAAAACAAATTTAACTTTAAAAATCCTGATCAGGTTAAGAACTCATCTATACTGTAATAGGGTTTTCTTAAAACAAAATTAGCAAGGCTGCTTTTGATTTGCTTGGATTGTATTTTGTTCTTTAATTCTTGAGACAGTTTATTGAATAGTTTTTTGCCCAGGTATGTCGGGGTTTTTTCTCCTAATGAAAGACGATGCCGTGGATATTGAAAGTTAGTTTTAAACCTAGTATCATACCTATGCTCAACATTTTCACTACATAATTTTTCAAAATTTCCTTCTACCGTAACTTACCATCAAAAGTGTTTTAAAAATTGTTAACCTCGGAACAGTCATTACTCTCTAATTCTTTGAAAATTGGCTTACATTATGTTCTCCATGGTGCAAATGTCATTATTCTTTAACATGTTTTCTGAGAAAAGAACTAAACTGGAACCAATCAAAGTAAAGAATAAATGGGTAAGCACTACCTATACCAAGCAATATAAAGACGTCACGAAAACGTTTCAGAAAAATGCTGAATTAATGGTTTCATTTAAAATTAAAAACAAAATTAAAAACATTCTTGGAAATCCAAAAAGTAAATTATAAAATACAACAAAATCTGGCATTTATCAAATTCAGTGTGACAGTTGTGAGATGAAGTATGTTGGACAAACAAAAAGAAATATTAAAACTAGATTCAAAGAACACACTTCTCACATAACACACAACAGACCTGAAAAATCAGCAATAGCAAAACATTGCTTAGAAACGGACCACACAATATCAATCAATAATACTACAATAAATTACTAAAAAATATAACAAAATCCAATGAACTAAATGCATGGGAATCATTATTTATAAATAAAATGGACAATTTGGTAAATAATGATAACGGTCCAATTCAAAATGTTACATTACTAAATTAATTCTAAATTTACAAAGTTATAAGATAATTCTACTTTATATTTCATTTTTATACATATATACATATATTAATTTTCATAATTTTAGCTAAATGTACTTAACAGAATAGTTTTTATTTTTAACTACCCATATGTTACATTCTTTAAAATTTATAATTGAATTTTTTAAACATAAACATAACCTTCAGTTTTGTGATGTGTCTGATGATGCCAGCATAGCTGGCGAAAGGCCTCATAAAAATTAAAAATTCAGAAATATTGGTGAAGTTGTTATTTCAAATTAATATGTTTTCTGAATCTTAAAAATTAAATCAATGTTTGATGCAAAGTCCCAGAATTCAATTCCATATTGAAGAATTGAATAGAAGTATGCATAATATAACATCAAACAAGTTTTTAGGTGAATTGTGTTTCTCAAACATATATCATTTGATAACAAGCCGAGTTCAGTCTACTAATTAAATTTTCAATGCTTTTGTTACAATTCAAATTTGAATCTACATACAAACCGAGAAATTTTGCATCATCCTGAACAGCTAAATTTTTGCCTGAGCAGTACAACACTTTACCAATTTATTTTTATCTTGATTCATTTTTAGATCATTAATGTTAAACCACTGTTCCAGTTCCGATAGGGATTGTTTAACTTTGAGCGATAATTCTGAATCATTTTTACATTTGGCAACTGAAGTTGTATCGTCCCCATATAAAATAGTGTTCTTCCTCATCTCTGGATGTTTTATGTTCACAGTACACGACTGCATGGTTCATGTCTCCTATCCTCAACATGATGTTGGGTGTGGAAGTGTTCTTCCTCAACTCTGGATGTTTTATGTTCACAGTACACGACTGCATGGTTCATGTCTCCTATCCTCAACATGATGTTGGGTGTGGAAGTGTTCTTCCTCATCTCAGGTTGTTTGCTCAGTTTCCACTACCTTCGCGCACAAGAGAAAGGTCAAGGATTCAATATCTTCTACTTCTACTATAAAAGATACGTTAGGTGAGTGTCTGATATTTGTACCTGTCCTGGCCAGGTATAACCAATATCATTGAGTATGCCAATATACAGTTTCAAAAAGCGTATTACGTAGTAATAGCGTACCAAGGGTATCTCTTAGAGTTATTCTATGATAGCTGATGTAATAAAAGGATTTTTATTTAAAGGAAATTCCCCAAAACAGATAAACACAATCAGTCGACATCAATCAGCACAATCAAACATCAGCAATCAGGCATGAAACACGCTTTTTAGTTTTTACAATAAGATGAGAAATTTGCTTGCACTATTCACAGTCATTATAACCCTACAGTACCTATTTTAGCTTGATAAGGACAAGTGAAAAAATAACTTATTTTTTATCAATGTATTGTGATAGAAATTAAAAGTTTTAACTTATTTTTAACTTGTTATTTACAGACTCACGCCTGCTCTAGTATTTGTGATGATGATGGAGGGGTGTGTCTTACTCCATGTCTCTGACGGTCCTCTATGGAAGCGTCTGATCGGAAACAGGGCATCGTCTTGTGTGGAGAACTGGTGGTTGAATTTATTTTACATAAGCAACTACGTCAATCCATATCATACGGTGAGACAATTAAGTTTAAAATATTTTCATTGCTTGGTTGTTTCCATATTATTTAAATTATTATTACCATTAACTTATAATTCATAATATAATGAGAACACAAAATGGAAGAAAAGTTTAAAAAAAACTACTGCAGAAAAAAGATTCACTACCAACATTGATTTAAAAAAAAACTCATCTATAGCTATAACTTATAGTTTTATTTTAACCAATTGTAGCACAAATAAAGATGATTTTAAAACACAAGCAGTCACTATTCAAAACAAAATTGTTTAAACACATTTGTTTCTCACTGATTCTCTATTACAACAAATCAATACAAATCTAATAAGATAATGGTAAATTTGAAAGTTTTGAAGCAAAGCTTAATGGTGGTTGAGTTTGGGAATAAGAAATAAACTCACTCATGCATGTAGAAAAATTATTTTCCAAACTCCCTCGATCATCAATTCAGAAATGAATCGGAGTTGATCTTAGATACAACAATATTATATTACGCTACAAGGCCAGGAAGTAGGTATTTACTGTACAATCATGAGGTTTGCCGAACCCAGGATTTCAGCGAGTACCATACGAACCTTCTTGAATGAGTGTCGTACGATACTTTTTGCCAGCACAAATATACAGGACGAGTAAAACACAACCCATCAATCAAAACCTTGTTAAATATACAGTTCAGTATTTAATACTTAACATTTCATTGTGCAGGTTTATTGTGAGTCTCTACCGAAGACACTCATATTATACCTTTTTGAAAAAGTGTAATTTGCTTGTGATGATGATCAGTAGATATACCGTACTCCAGCTGACTTTACTGGTCGCTTTCTATAAACAACTTAAATTTCTTCAAACATGACAGTAACTAGCTACTTACTTTGTAGCGTGGTGAAAAGTTTTTTGTATAAGTTTACTCTTAAAGTCAAATCATGTCTGATCATCTTTTTTCCAGTGCATGATCCAAAGTTGGTACTTATCAGCTGACATGCAGCTGTATCTTATCGCTCCACTATTGCTGATCCCCTTAGCGAGATCATTGGTTGGATCGGCTGATCGTTGGACCAACAAAGGCATAGTGCTTATCTGTTTCTGCTATATTGCTACAACCGCTGCCAGTTTCGCCAATGCCTTCTACTTTAAACTTCCAGCAGGAGCAACAGTATCATTGTAAGAATTTTTACGTGTGTTTTTTTTTATTTTAAGACATATGTCTGTGGTTTACTTTACATTTTTTCCTATTATGTGAGTTTCAAAGGTTTGAGCTATCCAATGCGGAGAGAGTAATTTTTCCCAACAGAGGTGAATTTACAGTTTAAGAAAGGTTTCAAACCTCTGCAGTGAGTAACAGTATCATATGACACAGATCATTGGTGATTGGCTGGATTTAAACTCAAATCTCCAGGACATTAGTCCTGAGCTTGGCTTGACCAGCAAAGAAATGTCTTGAGTATCAATAAATTATATAAGATGTTTGTTTATTGTAATTTTTAACATTAATTTTTTTAAATCCCCATAAAGGATCTATTATAAAAAAATTACAGAAAATAAAAGTTGTTTTTCTGCTACCATACTTGCAGAATTAGAAGGAATATCCACATATAGTTGAGTAGGTTTACAGTGCTTTCCTGGAAGTAAGAAGATTTTGGTTTGATCTTGAGATACTTCAGTGGCTTTTTTGTGACTTGAAATCGGATCCAGCTGTTCTTAAGCATTGGGCATTCAATAACTGGCTGTAAGGACTGATCTGTTCATTCCTACTCCATTAGCACCCATCTGCATTCAGATTCATCAAAATACCCTCACAAAGTGTGTTGCTATCTTAATAAAATGACAAAAAAGGAAATACAGTATAATAATTAGAAAATATTGTTTGGATACAGAGATAAGAAGACCGAGCAGAATCATGGATCGGAATATGTTGTAACCCATGTCAGAGCTGCATCTTGGCTCACTGGCATGGCTTTGGGCTACGTTCTTCATCTGATCAAGAAGAAACAGCTCAACATTAACTTGAGCAATAGGGTGAGTGCACCAGTGACTAACCGTTTTGTATAAACAGAAATATTAGGCGATTTGTTTTGTCTAATCTATCACTATCAGTCTTATAATCTCACTTTGGAGCCTGATTGGGATCTACCCTGTCTCGGGCTCGAAAAGAGTGTCAACCATTCTTTTAACACAAACAAAATTAAGTGTTCATCTTCAAAATTACTACTATAGCGTCTCATACAAACAAGCGTCTTGTATTTCTGTAATTCACAGTAAACATGTTTAGGTACAATTCTGTAAAAATTTGTAGATGTCGAACCAAACCAACAATCATTAAAATCGGTTGTTGTTCTTATCTAGATTTGGAATTATTTTTTTTAAGCTTGGAAAGGATGTTTTCTGTTATTAAGTGCTTGAAACACAAAATCTCATCAGAAAACATGTAGACACACTACAACCAGAATTTGACCGCAGGTTAAAGGTTACGGCTATTTTCAACACTCTGTTCGAACATAATAGTTTAAGTTTAATCATTAGGAACTACTGAGACAAAATTATGTTTTGAAAACGTAGGGTGAGGAGGGAAGTCTGTCAAGGTCAAAGGCAACACAGTCCAAGCATAGACTAGAGAAACAAATTAAATAGACTTATTCCTATCGCCATTTTAGTCTTTGGTTTGAGTTCATTTCTTCACTTCTTGCTGCTGCCGCCGTTGCTCTGTCTGGCTGCCATGATTTTCTATGTCCATTATTTTATAATATATTATACGTTACTTCGATGCTACCGATATATTATACGTTACCTACGATACTAAACTCTTGAGAGCTAAAGAATTTTTTATAGTTTAATTGTAATAAGAAAGCAATTTTATAAATTAAGAACATATTACTATTAAAAAAAATAACTTAACAGAAAAAATGAATTTTTATTTCTGGGAGGGGCTAAGGCCTTTAGCACCCAATGTATCAGCTGTGTATGTGTATACTGTATTACCAGTGTGTTGTTTAACCTTATAACAGATTTTCAAATATAGTACCAATTGAGCATAAGCTGACATAGCTAAAAATCCATGGTTAAGAAGCCTGGCTATTTTAAAATTCAAAAAATTACGCCTACTCCAAAGGTTTTATCATCACTGCAATACTAAGTGATATGCCCTCCTTTGCCTTTAGATATACAGTATGCCAATGCATGAAGAGTTTCATCTCACGTTTTGGTAACTATGTTCACCTGTGTTTCAGATGGCAGTGGCGCTCTGTTGGTCCGTTTCTCTATTTCTTTGTCTAGCTGCAGTCTTCAGCATAGTTCAGTTCCAGTCTCCCCAACACCAATATCACCGTGTGGTGGACAGTCTACACATTGCGCTTCATCGGAATGTATTCTCACTCGGGACAGCTGGAGTAGTACTACTCTGTGTATTGGGGAAAGGAGGTGAGTTAAATCGTTTAGTGTCAAAGCAGCAACTAAAAATTCTGACGCTGCTGGTTATAGTAGGGAACTTCTGTCCTAATGGCTTGGACAAAGCTGCAAATTATTGGTTGTTTGTAGCCTTTTTTGCTGAAAGCAAACCAAACAATCCATCTATCATCCATCATCTAGTAATCAAAAGCAAAGAAGGAATACAATAAGGACTTTCTCGCCTGTGAGAGATAATGGAGACTTGATTGGATTACGCCCTACACTAAAAGCAAAAGAATAATTTTTATTTAATCATGATTCAAGGGACGTATGGTTGAAAAGTGTCAGGGATTAGTCAAATCGTTCATCGCATGTTCCGTGATTTTGTTCAAAATCTCATTGACAGACAAAAAGCGACATTGGACAATGTTTTTAGCTTTACATCTTAGTTATTCATAGTTAGTAGGTATGTATTTGCAGAGTATAACTGATTGATAACAAATTTTAAGTGAACAATTTCATAAAAATGTTTGTACACCAACCATGTGATGTAAAATGTTTTTAGAACCACTGTATTTCTGGATTGCGTTGTAGGCCTGAGAGTTTTGCTCTAGAGAATGTGCTAAAAATTCGACAACAGGTCCTCCTATCAGTTTTACTTGATTCAAAGCCCAGAAATCAGTAATTTACATTAGCACAAACCGCCAATTGCTCAGTTAAACTACATTTATTTTGATTTAAAAACTGGCGACAACTTTAACAGGGATTGAATGTTTAGTTCTATCAACAAACAAATAAGGTATTATTTAACAAACCTTAGCAAATTCAACACCAGCTTGTTATTAAGCAATAACAAAACTTCAATGCCAACATTTCACATAAAACTGAACTTGATTAATCTGAGACTTAAAAAAATATTTACAGGTCCTGTTCAGAGTTTCCTGGGATGGCGAATATTTCGGCCTCTGGCCACTCTGTCCTACGGCGTCTACCTGAGCCACATGGGTCTCCAAGCCTTAGGCCTTGCCAGGATAAGGCAGCCTTTGGCCTTCGACATGTTCACACTGGTATGTGCATGTTTCAACGTGTTCACACTTTTCAGATCCTTTACATGACAAGTTATGCTACAGACTCGTTGAGTCTAGTTCTCTCTAGCCTGAATGTTTCTTCCATTTACATATTTGGAACAAACGTGTATTTAAAACATAAGTATACAAACATGAGTGTATTATAAATATTACTAGGTCCTAACGTGACCCTTTCCAACTAGAGCTTAATTTTTATGGCCAAGGTTAGGATAGATGTTAAGAGCAAAAAAGACAAAGATCCAAGAATGTGAAGTGAAACATTTTGTCATCTTATTTTTGCTAAAACGATTTAACAAGACATAAATAATTTCATAAGTAAGTTATTCAAATTACCTATAGTAAAAATAAAATTGTATAGTTGTTTAACTCATTGGTATTGGTATTGATACCAATGATACCTTGCGGGTTATCTGATATTAACTATTTTGTTACAGTGGACAGGCTTCTTGTCGGATGTCTTGATTGCCAATGTAGCAGCTTTTGTTATATTTTTTCTTGTTGAGTCACCAGCCTGGGAACTGGGACAGTGGCTATATAAACCAGGTTGGTGATGTGGTTATAATATCAATAAGTAAAAAATTATCAAGCAGTGGAGTTGAGACTAAATTGCAAAACTCAGTAATAAGTGAAACATGGTAAAGTATAATTGTGAGATATGATTAATGATAATTTTATGAGATAAAGTTTAGAATCGCTCAGACATCCCTTTCCAATAAACTTAACGCACATACCCTCATTTGACCTAACACATGATCTTGTCATCACTATGCAATATTCCCATAACTTCCCCATGTATGAAATATGAATCTCCACCAATCTCCAAAACTGCCTGCATATACATATACCATAAATTTGAATGTACAAACTCCAATAAACTTCATTTTACGATGTAGGCCTACTGCACACCGATTAACTCGAATTGTGAGTATTTAGAATACTGAACTCGCAATCCATAAAATGGTAGTATCTGCAACTTTGTGGGAAAAAATGATGAGTGTAGTCTATTTTAAATTGTTCATAAAATTTGTCAAGCTAATTTTCTGCATTGCTACAATTAATTGTACCATCAAGGTCAATTAGTAATTCAAGAATGAAACAGATTTATTACTTTAGTATTCTACTGAAAAGCTAGTTGGTATTGTATTTTCAAGGAACTTCTTTAGTTAAGTTAAAATAGTAGGATAGTTTAGGTCTTTAGGATTGTTGTTAGGTTTTCTTTGGTACAAGGAGAGAATAAAATTACAAATTATTTTGGGCTATTTTTTCAGGTAAAGAAGAGAAAGTTCACAAAAATGCGCTTTGCAATGAATTTGTAAATACTGCTCAAGAAAAAACTGCTCTTTAGTGATGTGTCACATCTGTATACTTTTATAAATAAAACATAGTCAAAAATGTATTTATTTTCCTTTTTAACTTATTTTTATAAAGTAAACGAGCTGTCTGGCCCGTCCTACGTACGGGAATCGAGTAGTCCATTAAAACTGATTCAGAACAGCTAGTTTACAACTTGGTGGCTGATTCACACACACTGGCTTTGAGTACAGTAGCAACACCTTCCACTGCATACTTACCGTACCTTATTTTACCACCTTGGCCACTGAAACCTCTAAAATGATCCTGGCCTCCCGTTCTCTTCTATCTCCTGCCATTTCTAAGGAAGATACCAGTCTGAAGATGTCTTTCATTACTTGGTCTTCCAAGTGGTCGTCTACCTTGTAGTACTCCTCGGCCTACCTTGTGGTGTCTCGGCCGAAGTCTTGAAAAGCAACTTCAATGTATTATGTGATCCCTTACTTCATATTGTCAATCACAGCATAATTTCTGGAGTTTTCCCTGATTGCTATAAGTTATCAAAAGTATTTCCTTTGCACAAATCTAACGATTACATCAATAAAAACAATTATCGCCCTTTATCTCTGCTAAGTGTCTTCGCAAAAATAATCGAAAAAATAGTAAAGGATCAAATGGTTTCCTATCTTCAAACAAATGGCATCCTCAGCGAGCGTCAGTACGGGTTTCGTAGAGATAAAAATATTTCAGATGCTTTGTTTGATATAAATAAAGAACTTAATCGCGCTATCTCTGATAAAAATCACCCAATGTTAATATTTCTTGATCTTAAAAAAGCCTTTGATTCTGTTGATCGTGCAAAATTATTAATCAAAATGGAATTACTGGGAATAAGAGGCAACGCTCTCAACTGGTTTAAAAGTTATCTTTCAAATAGAACACAGTATGTTTCTATATGTGGTGTGAATAGCAGTAGAATGCCTGTAGACTACGGGGTGGTCCAAGGTTCAACTCTCGGGCCAATTTTATTCTTATTATATATAAATAACATCTCTAAACTAACCATTTTTGGTAATATGTTTTTATTTGCTGACGATACCTTAATTTTCCTTCAGGGAAAGACTTGGCCCGAGGTCCGAGATAAGGCTATGCATGATCTTATGATTGTAAAAAGATGGTTGAATCAAAACATTCTTTCGTTAAATGTATCTAAGACTAAATTTATGCCAATTTCTATAAATAAAAGTACTGAATTTAATTTAACTGATTTAATTATTCATAATTGTAATAACTATCAAAGTACTACATGTTTATGCGAAAGCATTGAAAAGGTAGACTCGTACAAATACTTGGGTGTATTTTTTGACGAGCGATTGAAATGGAATATTCATGTAACTTATCTCAGAAACAAAATTAGGAAATATATTTTTGCTTTTAAACAGATGAATGAAATACTTTCAATAAAAGAATTAAAAATGGCATACTTTGCGTATGTCCAGTCGTTGCTTTCTTTTGGTATCATTGCATGGGGTGGATGTTATAAAAGTATTCTGGAACCTTTAAACGTTGCTCAAAAAACTATATTAAAAGTGGGGTTTGGTAAATGTAAACGATACCCAACTGACGCTCTGTTTGAGGAATTGTCCATTCTCACTATTCGAAAGTTATTCATTAAAAGCTTATTAATAAACATCTTTAAAAATCACACTAATATATTTCAAGGAATAACGCACTCTCACAGTACCCGTTATTCTTCGCGAGTAGGTATCTCATCACTTCATTTAAACTATACTTTCTCTAAAACGAACTCTTTCTATATTTCTAATATACTCTATCGAAATATCTGTAAATATTTTACCAATGATAATCTTTTCGAATCACCTTCAATTAATGTGTTCAAACTAAGAATCAAACAATTTCTCTTCAGGCTTGGTATAGATGAGGCCGACGTTATCATCACAGCTGATTACCGGCGCGTTTGACCCGACCCTTGCCCCCTCCACCCTGAGTCAGCATAAATCCTTAGGTATAGGTCTAGCTCCCCCCCTGATCATAACTGTATTTATTCTAGTTTATCATTATATTTTAACGCATTTATAAATATCTTTCCCTAAACTAATAACTCTTTAAGCAACAGTCATTTCATTTATTAATCTCTTTTGTATAATAATTCCATTATGATTTGGTAACCTACTGATAATTTAAATAGCAACCCAGCAGACGCACAGGCAGCACCTGCCTATGTCTGCTGAATTTCATAAAATCGTCAAATTAATTAATACAGAAATGTTCTTTTTTATTCTTAGCCTTAGTTTATATTTTGTAATTGTGATTATATTTTGTATTTAAAAGTATGTTTCTTTCTGTATACATTATGTGGAAATAAACGTATATTTCATTCATTCATTCCTTGGAATACACTTTTAAAAGTTGAAGTATCTTCTCTCCGCCATGCAAAGCCTGCCCAGCCCATCCGAGATCTGAGCCTTTTGGAATGTACCTTTTATCAAGTTTCTGAATCATACAGTACTACTGGGATAGTATGTATGAATGTATGTATGTATGTAGGTATGAATCGATTTTGGTTTCTACTGACACCCTGCAGCTTACCGGTCAGTTTTCTGGAGACCTACTACACCGGTTGACATTTTCATGTGTAGGTACTGAATGCAGTCATACTTATATTCAAGCATCTAGAAAAAGATGTATCAACACATAAACCACTTATATCTTAAAGGATTAAGCACTTATACTTAGACGGATTGCATTTATGATAAAACTTGATTATACGTTTAAAATGTTTAGTTCAAAATTACACAATCTCCTGATAACATAGATCTTTTACGGTAGGTAATAAACTGCATTTTAAAGTGAAATAGTGTGTAGGCAAACTCTGGATCAATATTTTTGTATACAAACAACTTGTAACATAAACATTTCAATGACAGTTAGAAACCAGCTGTTAGTTACACCACCACTAAAACGACTTTAACTCGTCCGTCGGCTGCTAGACTTTTTAAAAATTAAAACTTAATTTTTAAAAAACTGGGACCCTAAACTAAAATTATGGCTTCGACATTCCCTAGTTATCAAAATTATCTTTCTTTCAACACAAAAATCATGAAAATCCGTCAAGTGGTTGATTCAGAATCGTGAAATAAAAAAACCCTGTTTCGTTTTAATATTATAGATATGAAGGGGAACAGGTAAAGTTATATAAGGAGAGTTTTATTCCCACAATAAGGTACAGATGTTGCCTGTGGGATATTACTAAGTTTATTTTCGATGTATATTTTTGTTAATGTATCTTGTATGTTTAACACCATCGGCAATTTTTGTTTTTGCAAGGGAACGGTCCAAACCCTCATCTGGTTACAATTTCTATTGTTGTCAGAAAGAATCATCAGTAGCATCTGGGCCTATAATTGATCACTCTTTGGGATCAGCTCCATCATCAGCTCTGTAGGCAAGAACATTAACCACTCAGCTAGCAAGACTATTTATTCCAGATTAATTAGCCATTGAGCTAATTAATTGTTGATTGATTTTATTATGTTTATTTGTTACTAGCTGTTTGCCCGTTCTACGTACGGGAATCTTGTAGTAAGTTAAAACCTTATATTCAGAACAGGAGTTGGTTTGCATATTTAGTGTGCATTTTTCCAGATATGATGGCAAAACTATAACTGTTTAGGAATACATATAAACCTTCTCAAATACAATATCTGACAGTTTCAAAGCCAAAACGAATGCTTCGCAATTAAATGTCACCCGATCGTGTTAGTCCATATTTTATATCTAACGATGAAAGGAATTGAAAGTTACTTTTCACACTGGTTAAAAGTAGTTAAAACACTACCTCAACCTCACTCCTGCACACTTTATTCGGGTTGAAATTTTTATTAACAATGGTGCTCTTGTCTTTTCCACGAAAAATAAGGACATTAATGCATTACCAATAGACATACACACACAAATACAGAATTGAGTCCACACAACATTTTGGAGTCCAGACAGAAAACGCTAAAAATTATACAGTAAGACATCAATTAAATTTAATTAGCAATAAGGTGCAGTGTTTATAAATAAATAGTGAAAATAGTGATGTGTTTGTATGTAAAAATTATTCTTACCGGTACTGCTACCACCGGTTCTAAGGAAAAGTAGCAGTACCGGTACCAAAAACCAACGTTTACATTTGAGAAAAGAACTGTAGTACTTACGACTAATTCAAACTGTATTATAGGTGTTAATCAGTTGGCAATTATATAAATAAATAAATACACACAGGCCACAAAACATGTAACATGTAACGTAAACAACGTAAAGCTTTGAAAACTCACTATGGTTTGCTAAAAAAAAACTTTCACTTGATGTGGTGCAGTACCGGTACCGAAGTTATTAATCTCCTTTGGTTTTAATTTTTTTGTTTGTTTTCGAAAATCAAAGTTATTTCCTATTAATAGCATTATTTGTAAGCAGCTTTTAATGTTAACATATTAATGACAGTTTGAAGAAACCACCTTTATCCAAACAAAGGTTTCTTAAGATTACGTAATCTCTAAACGATAATCGGTACATATATCTAGCAAACATTCGGATGAAATGTGACAAAAAACGCACAAATCTGGGGTTTTGTACGTTTGTAGTTTTATTTCCTAAGTAGGAAAAGTACCGATATCGTTGTCGAAATGTAAGTAAGTAGAAACCAAAAGTGACACATTTGGAAAAGCGAGTTTAGCTACATCTGTTAAGTTAAACCATTGTTACGGTACGATCACAGCGAAATCAGAAAGATCTTCCAAGATCGCAGCAACATCCACGATCACCCACTGCAGTCGTGAATTTTTACTTTGCACTTTACACAACTGTCCTTGAAGCGCCGTCAATGAGTGGAAACCTTTGTAAGCTACGGTATTGGTGCCGATGATTAAAAAATTGTAAGTTTCCTTGCACTAATACAACACTGATTCACGGTATTTTCCCCGGTTATCAAAACTCAAGAACAAAAACAAAACTTGCGATCCATTAAAGCGGTTAAGTAAGGCACAACGTTTTTAATCTCACTTCGTTTGGATGTGCTGACTAAACTTGATCGGAAATGGTTGCGGTATTTGTAAACAACTTTTAATGTAAACATATCAGTGACAGCTAGAAGTGAGAACTAATCCAAACAGCTGATCGTTATTTCATCAAATGTAATAGTAAACATTGGGAGAAAATTTGACAAAAATCGAACAAAATTGGGTTTTTGGTGGTTCGTTATTTTGTTTTCGAAGAAGCGAGGCCATGTTTTTATAGCCAAAGACACTCTCACCAATCCAGTAAATACTGAAAAATGATTAAAACCTTGATCGGTACTCTAGTTTTCTAGGAGTAGGCCGCGTAAAATGACATTTTGGCGTTACAGACGGAGTCACAGAATGGACAGACAGACATACAGACAGAAATTGAGATAAGACTCGTTTCGGCTTTCTTAGGCTATGAAACGTAAAAATAACCAAAAACCGCATGATTCTAAGCAATGTACAGACAAAACTGTAATTTTATTTACTGTATATAGATTACCTTTTACCTTCAGTCTTTGTCTGATTTGTGGTGCAACTCACATGAATATGAATCCATTTTGTAAGAGTGCAAAATAAAAGCAAATCAATTTAAGTTTTTTTTAAGATATATTTAAGGATAGTCAAATCTACAAGTTTCTAATCTGAATTAGTATGTTAAAAAATAAAGTTTCAAATCTAGAAACCAAGTTCAGTGTATAGAATCATTGACTATTTTAGAATCTACTGTGACATAACTAATTAATGTTAAGTAGGCTACTTTGTTTAATTAATTCCAAAACTAATGACTGCCTTTCAGTTGAACAAATCAATGTGATCAAGAAGAAGCATATTGTAATAATTTTTTTACTATGTCAATAATAATATTGCTAGATTTCCATCCCAAAAATATCTTAATGATTTAAAACACCCAGGAAAAAGGTTGGAGAATTAGAAATCCCTATTCAGATTAAAATACATGTACACAACAATTGTTTTACCTTGACAAAAATATCTGTAAAGTATGTTTATAAATTCAGTGACATTGTTTAGATTAATACAGTTTTTAAATAATATATTCACCCTTTTTTATATAAGTTTTTAACAAAGTAGTTTTTATGTATTTAGAACTAAATATTGTATCGAGTTAACTGTACAGTTCATAAAAACATTTTTTTAATTTTTATAAAATTCTCTGCAGGTGAATTAAACAACCATTGAATCCAACAGGTCCAAATCTCTAAAACAACCAAATTAAATCAATAAACACTCATCAACTCTGGTTGCTATAGCAACACAGAGTAACACTTACTACTAACTGAACTGCTAATATCAACCTGTATCACAACCAAATTTAAGGTTATTTTGAGTTTATTGTTTGTTTATACTGTGTGACACAACCATGGAGAACAACACTTACACGTTTATCCAATTAAACAAGGTGTGTAAAACACTAGAAGATAAAGACTTGAAGGATAGCTTGATGAAATGGTCCATGAAAGGGACACTTGGTGTGCAGTATTACTCTTTCAATCGACAATTTCAACTTCATCAAAAGCAGCACTTTTTGGACTCATTCTTCACCGATCCTGTGGTTTACGGGAGTCTCATTTACAACCAAGTTCCTCTAGGTAAGCCAGCATCCGTCACTTTCCAGTCCATCCCGTGTACAATCCTCTCTATGGATTTTTTCGACCGAATCCTCAACCCGAACAACAACATTGTCCGTTGTGATGGCAAAACCATAACACAATGTTTGGAGGACGATGTGGAAGGATTTTCAATCGACGACAATTTGAGAAGTATGATTCTGAATCGTGATAGCAAGTTTTTCAATCTCTATAGCGATTCAGATCGCCGACAATTCTTGTGGAGGATTTTCACCCACTTTTGTCTTGGAGGAGAATACTGCCAACACGAGTTTGAGGTTCAGGCTTATTTAACAGCGGCAAAGTCACTCTACAAGGAACTAGTGAGTGTGGAACGGATAGGAGACTCAAATGAACTTGTGATCCGTTCTGTCGTCATGAAAGTTCAAACTTTTGATGACCATGGGCGACCTCTTGTGCCTTACAAGGTAGATAATCTACAGAACTTTATGTACCTTGTGGTCGACCCTTTCAAACGGTCTGTGGCAGTGTTAAGTCATAGTTATGGTGGACACTTTTGTGTTTAAAAACGTTTGTAAAGTTGCATTTTAATCTTAAAATATTGAACGTAAAAAGTAGTTCTGCTGCAATATGTGTAAGTCAAGTTTAAGAAGCTTATTAATTGACATACTAACCTAAATGGTCTTTTACATTAGACTTCCTTGTTTCTGTATCAAATCAAATCATCATGCGTCAGGCAGAGAAAAATATACAAACCATAATTTCGGTCACAGCTCTGACTCGTCCTTCGTAGTGGATGATCTGGGCTTTGGATTTTTGTTGCCATTGTCATATGTATGCGTGCTCTGTTCTGACCATCTCAGAACACTACCATTACCTGTTGTCAATTTGGAATGTTAAATTCTAAGGCTTAGCTGTTGTTAGGTCGTGTTCACATCGTGTTTGTTCATGTTCTGAGTGTGTTAACTGTTTGACGACATTGAGAGATTTATTTAAATAAGCTTTAATCCCTGATGGATACGTTTATGGCTTAACATAAGTAAAAAAACTGGGTGATCCACTACAAAGGACAAATTCAGAGCTGTGTTGGAAAATGACAGCCATTTTAGAAAAAGTTGAAATATAAACTTTTTTAATGTCATAAAAATAAGTTAAGATTCTTCATTTAATATTTTCTCAAAATCTAATAGTTTCTGAGGTACCAATTGTGGAACAGTTAAGTTGTTCACCCTGTATACCATATGGTAAAACCCTTCAAATAAACTAAAATAAATAAAAATATAGAATTCATAAGCCTGTGTTTAAAAGACGCTAATCTCGGGATTTCTAGGTTAAGGTATCAAAAGACGACTGGGATCCCGGGATTGAAACCCCTACTCGTAAATGAACAAGTCCACTCAATCAAGGTTTTTTTTATCTAAGAAAATAATGAAAACCCTAAATAAGAAAATCCTTAAGGGTACTTACTGTCCGCTCTTATTTTTTTATTAAATGAATATTTTTCCAGTTATTCACAATGAAAACAGACAATTTAACTTGCCAATATGTAAAAACATTATACAAAAAAAGTTGCTTAAAATTAGTCAGTTTATTGATTCCCGATCTTTTGAATGACAAATATTTTGAGAGGGAGGGTGCCTCCCTTCTGGGAAAAACAACCCCACGCTCAGGGTAGATTTTGAAATAGAGAACAAAGAACCTAAATCCTAATATTTATGAAAATTGGTGCTGGATGGAATAATACACGGGAAAATGGTCATTAACTTGATATACTATTAAGAAAACTGGATAAACCTCAAACAAAAGGATTCAATACAAGGGAAATTTTTTTATAACAAGAGTTAGTTTATGCTTTGACAATAATTTCCACAACAATTTGTTGGAGGTGAAGAAACCTGCCTTGTATAAGCAGAAATGTACCTACTCCTCCACAATACCAGACCATGATAAATTATATGCAGTTTAAATACATCCTGTAAAAAGATATGTAATAGCTATTATTATTATCACCACTTTTGAGATAAAACCTAAACCTAAGTGCATATTGTAAGCTGAACGTAAATCCAAGATGAGATGTACAATAGAGTGAAATTACCTGTATAGTTTTGACACTGAGATCAGCTGTTTCTTAAATAAGGACTTTATTTAAAGCCCAATGATACAGGACAGCAGTGTCCAACCTTGAACATTCAATAAGCTACTGACTTTTCTCAGGATCGAACCAGCGACCTACTGATTGTCAGGTGAACACTATAACTACCCAGACTTTTCATGCAATTGTATTATGACAGCACAGTTTGCGTCAGTGAGAAGGGAAGAGCTCGACACAGACTCTGGATGGTCACACAACTATCATGAGAAGACGACGGCTCTGTCAGCTACCTCCAACATAGAATTGTTGTCTAATTACTTCCTTTGATTTGTTGGTTGCCGTTAAATAATCTAACTTATAATACCTACACTTCTGGCAGTTTAATACCAGTCCACAATCTTGTCACAAATTACTATCCACCATCAATCAAAAAGTATATTTAGAGGTAGAGTTTTATTAGGAGTTAGTTCAATATAGTTCTGCAGATATAAAACATAGTAGGCTGGTCTACATTGAGCCAATAACTCAAGTATTTGAACACGCCAAGCCTTTGTTGTTACATTATAAATACAATGGTCCAAATGAAATCTATAATTTCTGTTAGAGCTTTGGAATCCTCTAGACATTTTTAGATGTAATTATCAGAGAATCTATTTTCCTAGTGCACCTGGTGCTCGAATTCGAGCAATCGCAAAGTATTACAGGCGTTATTTCAAAACAAATAACAGTCATAATTACCAATGACTAAAAAAAGTCAACTCAAAGATAATGTAATCAATCACTCTACCCCAGTTATCAAAACTGAAAACGAACTCACTCTGAAAACAAACACTCTTCTGTGTATCGTGTGTTTACTACAGTAGACTCCCTCTTATCCGGACACCTTTTAACCGGACATCGGTTTAACCGGACTACACTCGATGGAAATGACATCTCTTTAACCGTACAACTTTTATCATCACATTGGTTAAACCGGACTAGATCGGCAGGAAGTGGGCAGTACTGAAACGACTGTTCTCGTGAAAAAGATTTGAGACCAGTGATCATGTGTCTAAATACAATGCTCTCCTAAATTTAAGTCGAATATCACAGTAAACAGTCCGTATTAACGAGTTTTTGGGGACGTCGGTTTCACCGGAAAACCCGTTATCTGGACTGGCCTCGGTCCCGAGGAGTCCGGATAAGAGGTAGTCTACTGTAGAACAGCTGTTTTGTTTTGCAATTAATACAAATTATTCGTCTCTGTCTGTTTAAGTAAACAAAATCTTTTCTTCATAAGAAATACATTGGGATTTTTATGGCCTGTGGGGCAAAGCCCGAGGACTTTTATTACAGGAATTGGTGAGAAAGAGGGGCGTCTACACAAAAAAATACTTAATTTTGACACATTGTTTGTAAAAATCCGTCTATTATTAACGGGGGAGTAGTGTTTCGTAGAAATCACCTTCACGTATTATATATATAAGGATTAATACACTACATGAAACATTGTAAACAATAAGGATTTTTTGTTTTAAGATTTAACCCCACATATTATGTTGTACTAAAATGTTTGTCTAGGTGTGTAGATTTGCGTTGACCTTACATTTTTGTCCCTTGGGCTCTGCCCCATTGCTTTTAAAGTTCCCATGCTATCCTTATTAAGAACATATTTGCTTACATTATGATCAGCTGGATAATTTAATTGCTGTTAATATTTTAGTAGCAATTTAAGGAAACTAGTGTACATGTTGCTCGAAATCGAGCAATTGCAAGGAAGTACAGGAGTTATTTATAAACCAATTGCTTGTTTAAAAACTATTAACAGTCATAATGTCCAATGATTTTAAAAGAGTCAACTAAAAGATTATTAACCAATGGAAATACTCACAATTTACATAACAGTCCTATTCCAGTTTAAAGGGTTAATTTTTAACAATTAAACTGCCCATGGACGGGATAAGGTAAGCTTACAATTTAAGTCAACGTAAAAAGGCTGTCAGCTTTTATAAAGTAGGTACCGTACCTAAGTTATTTAGCCAATTTGTAGACAATAAGGTGTAGGCTACTTTAAACTCTACAGGACAGAGTTAGGCAAAAACTGGCAGAACTATGATATGGTGTTATTTATCATAGGCTTACTCATATGCCAAATCCTTAAAAACAAATTTAATAACTAATAACTTATATCAATAAACACAAATTAACATCCAAACCCAAAACTATACACATTTTTAATAAAACATAGATAATTTACACATTGACTGTTTACAACATATGTTCTTCTTCTCACTAATTAATTTTTGCTTCGCAACGGGAAAAATCTGTTTCATTATCATTGAAATAGATTTATAATAAACTAGCAGAGTACCCGTCCTTCGTACGGGGTTGGAATATAAGTATAAAATGCTTATTGCAGTTATACTCAAGTTTTGGGTTTGCAATAAGGGAGGACACAGTTTGATAAAATTTGTTTTTTTAAATTTACAGTATTCTATACCGTAGTATTACACATCTACCATAGCCATAATGTTCTACCACTTCACCTAAACAATAGAGAAAAATAAATTATCAACAATTCGCAAAATATCAACAATTATTCATGAAATGAAAAACATAAACATAACTGTAAACAATCCTACTTTGACAGTTCTCATTGCGAATCACAGTTTTTTGTTGCTGCTTAGTTCAAATTAGCTGTTTTCATAAATGCAAAAAAAAATATAGTGCTGCACCCTGTTGGTAAATCTTATAACTTTTTAATGCTTTTCCATATCATAGAACCAACTTTTTTAGTTGAAACAGCTGACTAAATTCTTTAATTCCCTTTAATATGAATACTCATAAGAAATACATGGGGAATTACAGAGCCACTGGGGCGGAGCCCGAAAGGATTTTTGAGATAAGAATATGCCTATATGTTAATCGGGAATGTAAGCTATCATCATGCCAAATTTCAGCCCAATCCGTCCAGTGGTTTATGCGTGATTGAACTTCAAACAAACCAAACAAACAAACAAACAAACACACAAACTTTCACATTTATAATATTAGTAAGATAATCTATCATTAAGTTCAAGTAAACCTACTACATAGTTGTTTTATTTTTTTGATCAGCTGTCTGAAATTGTGAAATAGGCATTTGACAGTTCTGGTTGTTTACATTTAAATGTCAAATCAAATGTAAACATTGTGAATTTTCTCATGCAGACCATTTATTAATATTCAATTTCTGACAACAGCTGGAGTTTCAAAACAATGTTTGTTTCCCATGTTAATCTTATGGAGAAATACGAAACTTTAAAGGGCCCCAGGGCCTCACTCTCTAATTATATCCCTAAAAAGAAAGTTTCCTGCACAACTTCACGTTACGCTCTTTCCAATGACACCAAAAACATGTCAATCGGTTCAGTAGTTTCGGAGGAGTAATTGTCACAAAAATCCTGCTTGCGTATTAAATAAGACAAAGTATAGATGTGTGCTACAAACATTTACTGACTTGGTTGAAATGATATATTTAATATTTGAATTTGGGTTGGCGTAAATATTACAATGGAAAAAAGCGAGAAAGCCTGGACAATTTGATATACCAAAAAGAAAACTGAATTAACACTTTGTGCTAAATTTCTTGAGCAATCATTGAAAGAGCCGATTTGCAAACTATGGAATCATGGGAAAGTCGTAGAACACCACCAAGTAGAAGAAATAGAATTAACGTTTTTTTAGAATTTATAATTGTTATTATGGACAACCTAATGCGGCTATGAGTGGGAAATATTTGTATAAAACACTAAAATACCCCCGACGCACTACAAACCTGCCGACTAAGGGAATTTCCATTTGTCTGAAATGATTTTCAATAAAATCTACTGTATTTAAATAACATTAGGTTTAACGAGTACCTAGGTTTGCTGCTACAAGGGAACTAATAAAGTGCGTTTTTAAGTAAAATATTAATAGCTTAGTATAAAATAAATAAAATTGCCAAGTTTGATCAAAATATATCCATAAACAAGCAAACTATAAAATTTTAAAATATTCACCATAAGAATAACATGGGAATTAAAATTTTTTGAATTTTCTCTGTTACCAACAACCAAACAAAAAATTCGCTAAAACAAGATCAACTTTTGAAAAATGATATGATATTTACAAGAAATGTTGATTATATCAATCTGTTTTGTACATTGAGAGTATTTCTATAATCTTTGAGACAACTCTTTTAAAGTCATCGGAAATTATTACTGTTCTTTTTTTTAAATAACACCTGTAATACTTCGAAATCGCTTGAATTTGAGCAACAGGTACACATATTATATTTGTATTATTGTAGTATTGTAACTAGTTATGTATTATTTAATGTTGATATCAATTTCACCCTCAGTAAGCTAGCTATATCAGTCATATGAATAACCAGGACCTTTTTTTCTCAACCACAATCATTCTGTCAAAATCCATTAACCCAGTGCTGTCGGCAATTAATTTTACCGATTTTGTAGACTTTTACTCTGATTGCCATAGAAAGAAAACCTTAAGTAATAAATTAATAATTCTTTCACCATTTTGTTCACAGTAAAATTGTCTACAGAAAAGTGGTAATTGAATAGTCAAAGTGTAAAACTAAAAAAAAACTAAAATTATAAAGATTATCAAAATAAAAATTTTAAAAACAATTTTTTGGAAGTAAAATTTACAAATTCCTAGATTAATCCAGACACCAAATAACACTACTATTATAAAGTTCAATTGATTCCCTACGTAGAAAAATCTAAAGTTGTGTGCTTGTAGAAAAAAATTTGTTTGTTTACTTTACCGCAGCTGATTTTTGGTGATATCTGGATTCCATGGCAACACAACATTGTTTGTTATTCGCTAAAATAAATGAGTAAATAGGCAAATCAAGAGAAGCAAGATATTTATAAACATTATAAAAGTAAGAAGAAAAAAGGGAGGAAAATAATAATAATTAAATAACTAATGGTGCTGCCTAACGGTGACACGAGCGGCACTCGTAAGTCGGCCGCCGGGCCTGCAGTGGCCGTACGAGTACCACTTGTAAGTCGGCGCCAATGGGTTAAAGAGGGATCAAAACTTTTGTGTTTTTTAGCAAAACCTAAAGATTATATGATAAACAGACCAGTTCACTCCTTAAAGGAACTTGCTGCTCCATCTACTAAGGAACATTGGTTTTTCTAAAATTTAGTTTAACTTTAAAATATAGAAAATAACTCATTTTAATGTTATTAAAAGTATTAAATTGTACTACTATATTTTACTGAATCAGTTAACTTATTTAAACAAATAAGTACGCCTATTTGACACTATTAAAATGTATTGATTATTGATTG